GTTCTTCTGTATGACTTCATATCCCTTCACCATTTACAAACATAAACGATAAAAGATAAATGGCCCACACTTGTATAGCGCCTCTCAGAGTATGGAATCTAAAGCGCTTAACATTACAGTGTATCATTCATCCATTCACACACACATTCACACACTGATGATGATGAGCTATGATGTAGCCGCAGCTGCCCTGGGACGCACTGACAGAGGTGAGGAACATATGAATGATCAAACTCTTGCATGTTGCACACTGCTGAAGCATATCTTGAATGTAGCCAAATACATTTTTATGTCGCATTAAATGAGCACTTTATACTTCTTCCACCATGCATCCACAACCAGTTTATAGTAACAACATGGTCATACTGGTAACGGCTGATGTGTGGATGATAGACAGGTGCAGTGCAGGTTTCTGTCTGGGACAACCCTCTTAAAAGAAATGGAACAAGGATGTAATAATAAGAGACAGAGAGATGAATGGATTAAAGGATTTGACCCCCCACCCCCAAACCTCTGCACCTGTGACAACACGTCATCCTCAAAGTGTGTCACAATTACACACGTCTACAGACTAGATACATGGTGATATTTCTCTAAATTACACAGTATGCACATATGGCTACAGCAGTGAGATTAAAGATTCTGCCCACATATAGTTAGAGATGGAGTGCGTGTGTGTGTGTGTGTGTGTGTGTGTGTGTGTGTGTGTGTGTGTGTGTGTGTGTGTGTGTGTGTGTGTGTGTGTGTGTGTGTGTGTGTGTGTGTGTGTGTGTGAGTGAAGTAATTTGCTAATTCAAAAACCAAAACTTGCACTTATCTGTTTTATCTGTGACTGCATTATTGCTTCTATAAAGCCCAAAGAACAGAAAACCCCAGTGTTTACTCTCTACTGCCATCTAGTGGTCACTGTTTCCTCCAACACCCATCTGTCATTGTTGACAAGATGAAAAATGTAAATGACTGAAACAAGAGCAGAAGATATGCATTGAAATGTGCTTTGATACCAGTTTCAATACTTTTGTTTGACGTTTTTTGTGACAAGGATGAAAATATAAGATAAAGATTTGCTGTAAAACATGTCAGCTTTAAAACAACATGAGGTTTAACATTTCTGAAGCCTACATAAAAAGAAATGCTACAAATATTCATAACTGTTGGATTTAAGGATTTCTTTAAAGCTGGTGCCTGTCTGATCCTGCCAGTTCATTTAGGTTCGGTGTTGTTCAAAACCCTTTATCCTCTCATGTTTAACCAGCTAATACACCATTTTGGAAAATATTTCCCAGAGCATGAAAGTGAAAACTATGCAGCCTATCAGCTTCCAGGAAAGAATAGCCTAATCGTGTGAATGAAAATAACCCAAGTCCTCCACTAATCCCCACATATCCTTTTTTATCTGAGGATTCAGAGCAGTGGCAACAGTTGGAGCTGTGAGCCTGTCAACCACAATGCATCTGATGTTCCCTTAGATCGTGTTGCAGCATCTACTTTTTAAATGAATTGTAGTTTAGAGTTGTAGAGTTTTAGCTGCCTGCTGTGGGGAAACATGATTCAACACTTTTCTGCTGCTTTCTGTCTGGCTTTGGTTTTTCTTCCACTTCTGAGCTCTTCCTGCCCGTCACAATGCAGCTGCTTCTATCATAAATTAAGTGATGGGTCTAAAGCACGGTAAGTGTTTGCATTTAGTGCTTTTACGTTCATTGCAGGCAACAGACATTTTTACCATTTCTTAGCTCTATTCAGTCATGCTAAGGAGAGGCGATTATGTTGAGGTTGCTTTTGAATCTTCTTTACTTGTTACTGAAAAATTAGTTACAACTCTTTTAGTTCGTTGGTTTTAAAATTTGAAATAGAAGTGAAGAGCACATCTATTTTAATGTAGCCCCCTTTTTTATTTTTACAATAATGTGAATTTAACAAAATAGCCTTTTTATTTGTTTCAATGTTTGCAGGAGTGTGCTTTGTAATGATCCGGAGATTACCGTGATCCCTTCGAATTTCCCCTCTGACACATCAAAACTACGTATAGAGAAGACAGCAATCACACGGATTGCCAGCAGCAACTTCCACTACCTCAACAATCTGGAGTTTCTCTGGATGTCTTTCAATTCTCTCAACTCACTGAAAGCTGACAGTTTCCGCGGCCTCTACACCCTGAATGAGCTACGGCTGGATGGAAACTCCCTCACCTCCTTCCCCTGGGAAGCGCTCATCGACATGCCCATCCTGAGGCTCCTCGACTTGCACAACAACAAGATCTCCACCATCCCAGTCTCGGCCACCATGTTCATAAAGAACATAACCTATCTGGATTTATCCAGCAACAGCCTCACAACGATTCCTGCAGAAGTTCTCACAATGTGGCTGAGTGTAAAGCCTTCCCAAGACATGGATTCCTCAAAGCTAATTCTGGGTAAGGATCAAGCTGTGACATCCTAGGATATTGGAAAGTTTACCCTTTTAGAACTGCCTTTGTTTATTAGTGGATTAGACTAATTAAAATTATTCCACACTCTACCAAGCTGTTTATTTCACCTCTGAAATACAACTTCTTCATATTAAAGTTTTGCCTAAACTGTAACTTTTGTTGTATTTTTTCTGCAGGTCTTCATGACAACCCATGGCTGTGTGACTGTCGACTCTATGATTTGGTCCAGTTTCAGAAGTCCCCCTCATCGTCTGTGGCTCTCATTGACACCAGGCTGAGATGTGCTGATCCAGAAAGCTTGTCGGGGGTTTTCTTTACCGAGGCTGAGCTGCAGAAGTGTCAGGTCCCCCGGGTGCACACGGCGGTGGCTCGTGTCCAGAGCTCACTGGGTAACAATGTCCTACTTCGCTGTGGCACCGTCGGAGTCCCCATTCCAGATCTTTCCTGGAGCCGTGCTGATGGCAAGAAAATGAACGGCACAAGTATGTTTCTACTAAAATTCATAAATTATTGAAATCTATCTAAGTCCAAACACGGGTGAGGTTGTTTAACTTTTCTGGGTGTCTTTGTTTTGATTTTTCAGTTCAGGACGAGATTTCAAAGGAGGGCATCATTTGGTCCATTCTGAGTGTGCCAGCAGTCTCCTACAAAGATTCTGGGAAATACGTGTGCAAGGCTACCAACTTTGTTGGCACTGCAGATGCCATAATCTCTTTAGTGATCGCTGATTCGATTCGTTCAGAGGAAGCAGTTGGTGGCGTTTCAAAGAGGGGCAGAGGGAAGAAGACTGGTGGCACTGGAAGAGCAGCATACCAGGAAAAGCTCATAGCCCGATATGTTCCACCTTCAACAAGCACTGCTGCTCAGCCAGTTATCGAGCCTCTTAATGGCAAAACTGTGACTGGGAAGTATGAGGTTGAAAGCTACAGTGTCTCTGATGGCGCTTATAAGGGAGAAGGCAAAGCATCAAACCTCCAGAAGCCAGTGGAGGTGGGTCAAAGTGCTATGGGAAACCTAGCTGCCAACACGTCTTCCTTACAGCAGGTTCCAGAGAAGAGGGTGGTGCGTTCGGTCAAAGTGATTGGAGACACTGATCATACAGTCTCTTTGAACTGGCGAGCCCCCACTGCCACAAACACTACTGAATTCAGTGTCTTATATGCTGTGTTTGGTGAAAGAGACATGCGTCGCATTAATGTTGGGGCTGGAAAGAACAGGATCACCATTGAAGGCCTTGTACCAAAGACAAAGTACATTGCTTGTATTTGCGTCAAAGGCTTGATTCCGAAAAAGGAACAGTGTGTAATCTTCTCAACAGACGAGGCCGCCAGTGCCAGCGGCACTCAGAAGCTCATCAATGTGGTGGTGATAACTGTGGCGTGTGTGATTGCTGTCCCCCTGACATTGATTGTGTGCTGTGGGGCACTAAAGAAACGTTGCCAAAAGATGCTGGGGCGGCAATCTAAAGATTTACAGGACTCCTATGTAACATTTGAGACTCTTGGCCCTGGAGGCAAACCTAAAGTAATGGAGGGTGAGTATCTGACCAGGCTCAACCCTGATGAATCCAACAGGCTACTGTCTGCAAGGTCCAGCGTTGACTCAGAGGCCATAGCAAGGACTGAAGGGCCACCTAATGAGTACTTCTGCTAGAGTCGAACTGAAAACAAAGTGAAATTCACAGGTAAAGTGCTGGTGTGTTCAGAGAGTCAGAAAACATTGATGCCTCTGTTAGAAATGGACATATGAGATTATTCTAAAGCCTTGAGAAGAATAAAGTAAGCCAGGTTGTCAGGTTTAACACAGAAATGGGGAAAATAAAAGAAATTGGATGGTTGGGTTATTGGCGTACATACCTATAAAACAGTTTGTATGTCATACATTTTTTAACCCTTCCACTGTCTTATCGGGTGACCCCACCAGGAAAGTTGACCATTGAGCAGGATTGATGGTTTATCTCTTGAGGTCCATGTGGCAGGGGTGAGGTGGTGGTCACTCCTCACCCCTGCCACATGGACCTGAAGGGATAAACATCAACCCTGCTCAATGGCCAACTTTCCTGCCGGGGTCGCCCAATAAGACAGTGGAAGGGTTAAAGTGATTTTTTGCAGATACATCTTGATGGCCTGAGCTCTCCGAAGTCCTATTGACTCATATAGATATTTATTTTTCCTGAATGCAAGATCTGCTTAGTTGTAAAGTCTTTATTTAGAACAAAAAACTTTGAGGATCAGTAATCATTTTATTCTTTTATATGTCAATGTGCCAGGTTTACTGTTGGCTCAGAAACCTAAAACAAAATGAATTTCCCAAAATGTAAATATTTGTAACCTGAAATACAGGTGAATTTATGAATATACTGACCTGAAAAAATAAATATTTTTATACTGATTTGCACTGCAAAATTTTATTTCACTGATAAATATTTAAGGGTTTATGATAAATGACTGGAGGTAATTTGGGGGAAGCACCATGATTTAAAGCAGCTGCAGGAAGATAATAACACAAACAATATGCAGTTTTATCAGTCTCCAGTTTCAAGGGATATTGTGGATCGCAAACAAATATTGGTTGGCCCTAAATTTAAAACTCTGGCAAGTGTTTTTTAAAGTCACTAGCAATGCCCCCATGAACTTTTGCTGTCCTTGGCACTGCTAAGTACAAGCTTGTAGAACAGCCAATGTGGCCAAAGACGTTAGTCCTGTTGGATAAAAATATTGAATTTGATGTCATACCGAAGATTCAAAAACCTAAAATACACATAGTTCTTTTTCATGTTCAGGTTAGTTATCAAATAAAATTAACTTCAAGCTGTTTTCTAAACGGAAAAAAAAAAATCTGTTACCTTAAGAAAATGAAAACTTTGAAAACCTTTGGTAAATTTGCCAAAACCTGATGAATGAGAAAAGAAGAAGAAGAAGAAGAAGAAGAAGAAGAAGAAGAAGAAGAAGAAGAAGAAGAAGAAGAAGTATTACCCACAATCCATTGCTGTGTGGGAATTTTGAAAAAGTGAAACAAAGGCTCAAGTGCCTTGTTTGAAGACATGTATTTTCAAATGAAAGAAGTTAATTTTAAGACGATTATTGATATTTATTCATGCTCTGAATTTTTACGTATTAAATATATATATACTATTAAATAATAGAAAACATGAGACTGAAAAATAAATTACTGATTGAAACAGCAACATGAAGAGAAGGTAATCAGGAGATCACACCAAAACCAGCTTGAACAGGTGGGTTTTCAGCTGCTTTTTAAAGGAGACCACTGAGTCCACTGATCTCAGGCTCAGGGGGAGAAAGTTCCAGAGTCTGGTGGCCACAGCAGCAAATTATCTGTCACCTTTGGTCTTTAGCCTGGTGCGCTGCACAACCAGTAGGCTTTGGTCACTGGACATCCTGCTAGGTGTGTAGGGACTGAGAAGATCACCAATGTATGATGGTGTTTGTCCATGTAAGGCCCTATAAAGTCCAGAACCAGTGAAGCCGAAGGAAAAGCAGGGTGACAATTTGGTCAGAAGCCAAGCACACAAGACTACCTTTATAACTTGTAGTTGGATAAATCAATTTTTATGTTAGAATGCATTGTACTTTGCATAAAGCATGGTACTGAAGGATAAATGATTCACAGTAAATTTAAGGTGCTGTTGATTATCTATCTACACTCGTTTCAAATGCTGACTTGACCAACCTGAAAGACGACCAGCACTCTGATTATTGAGGTCAGATTACCGTCCTTCCCAGACATCTGTCTCTGACTCACTCCAGCCCTCCTTTTCAGCACCACTAAGCCTGATGGGCTCTGGCCCACTTAATACAAGTGGACCTCCTATCAACTCTTGCTTTAGTTGGGGAAAAATACAACAATTAGAAAGATTTTAAGTTCACAACTGATACAAATGACTCTTAGCATAACTTTTGATTTATTTGTTCTAGAAAGAAAAAGAAAACTCGTCTGTGTTTTAGCGGACCAGACCATGTTTATTGACATAGTGGACCATTGCTATAAATACACCTTTCTCTTGTGTCATTAAGAGTTGCGTCAAGGAAGATTAGGGTAATAGGCTTTCTTTCATGTAGCCGATGGGCATGTCCTGCCTTCACAGGCCTGTGTCTCATGGTCATCCATGAACATGGACGTGTTTTATGTTGTGTTAAGTATTGCTCTGGTATTAAATATCATCAATGCCGGATTCTCTACTTGTCTACCGGGTTGCTCCTGCACAGATGACAACTTGGGCAGGTAGGCTGTCATTGAATCTAAAAAAAAAAAACATTTAAAATCCTGTTGCGTGGCAATCATTAACTTACTTTTAACTAAATGTTGCCAGAAATGTAAGTTTCTGACATGTGTGTTCAAATTTTAAATCATAAAGAAACGCTACATCCATCACATTCTCTTGTCAATGTGTGTCTTGTATGCATTTCTAGGTCATTACTATGTATGGAAACTTCCATGGATCACATCCCAGAAGACATCCCGGATGATTTAAAAAAAATACGGATGGAAAACTGTCACTTGACTGAGTTACCTCAAGGCTCTTTTTCTCTAAATAGTGCCCTGGAGTATCTTTGGCTAAATTTCAATGAGATCACACTGATGAACATTAGAAGCTTGGAAGGGCTCGCCAACCTGACTGAGTTGAGGTTACAAGGAAACAAGCTGACCTCAGTACCATGGACCACATTTCAGGACACGCCCAAACTCAAAATTTTGGATCTGAAGCTCAATCGACTTGATGCACTTCCTGAACATGCTTTGAAACACTTACCATCTTTGACCTACTTAGATTTATCCTTCAATCAGCTTACCATCATATCAAAAGAAGTCTTTGTTAATTGGCCTCTTTATCAATCAGCAAAAAAAGCTTGGGGGAAGGAGGGGCTAGTATCCAACGTGGTTTTGGGGTTGCATGACAACCCTTGGTTGTGTGACTGTCGCCTTAAAGGTTTTGTTGAATTCGTTGGGGCGGTCGGCCCTCCCATCATTCTGATGAACTCTTACTTGATGTGTTCAAGCCCAGTCTCCAAGGTTGACAAATTTTTCCATGAGATCCAGTTAAAAACATGCACCAAACCAATGGCTTCTGTCCCAGATTCTAACGTCACTTTACCTCTCGGAGCAAATGCAACACTGAGATGCATCGTCAAAGCTCGACCAGTCCCAACCATCCAGTGGATGTACATTCTGAAAATGATTAGAGGATTTGCATGTAAGTTTATTCATCACCATGCATTATTATTCTCTGAAACTGATCTATCTTAAACACAGTTTTCTGACTGAAAGGATGTCTACTTTGATTCTTGTGTCTCCTTGCAGCGACACATACTCAGATAGACGAGGATACAGTCACCTCACAACTGGTGATACCATCAGTGCATTTAGCAGACCGAGGGATATACACCTGCATGGCCAACAACTTCATTGGCAACACCTCTGCCAACATCATGCTCAACATCGATTCCCCTAACTCATCTGCTCCCATTCCGCCACCCGTCCCCATGATATCAGCAGAAGACAATGCTCACGTAGATATCCACATTGCCAAGCAAACAGTGTATGGCATCACCTTAGAGTGGCATGCAGTTACAGACAACCCTGCAGAAACATGGTTCACCATTCACTTTGGCAAACTTGATACACCCAAGAAAGAGATGATTTACATTGGCCCTGGCATTAACAGCTACTCAGTCAGCGATCTGCTTCCTGTCACCAAATATGAGGTGTGTGTCACCCTGAAAAACTACCCACCCAGGAAGGGCCAGTGTATTTTATTTGTCACAGGAAGTGACATTAGTGAGCTAGAGCAGAGAGAGAGACTTATCCACATTGTAGTGGTAGTGTGTGCCATGGTGCTTGCTGTGCCAGCTGGCATGTATGCGTGCACAACAGAGGCCAGGTTCAGTTGTGTAGATCGTTGTGTGGATCTATGTAAGAAGCGCAGGATGCATCAGGAGGACCTTGAAGGAAACGAAAGGCAACACACCTTTGACAGCCTGCAGGCAGCCAGCGATGAAGCTCTGTGTAGGGACTCCAATGAAAAGGCAACAAAGAGACGGAAATCTGAGGACAGATGCAAGGGAGGCAGTGCTGCTTACTTATACTAATATTAAAGTCAGGATGTGTATCTTTAAATAATAACAGTCTTTAGTGTAGTCCAGTTTGTGCCTTCATCACAAATGACTCTAAACATGGTTTATGTTGGAGCAAACAATTCACTCTCTGAACTTTGGGACAGCAATAGATTCTGTGGTTGCTGATGAAAGGCTGGGTCAAGGTTGACATTAGTTCCTCACAGCAAAAAATATGTCTGATGTGAATCTCAACTGATTGCACATTCTCCTTGTGAATGATTTTCTCAGGATACTTTGGGCTTGTTTTACAGTCCAGGAACATCCATACACAAGTCTTACCAGGGTTTGCAAAATGAATGTTTGGTTTGACTGTGCAAATGCAAGGTTGTTTGTCTCATTTGTGTGTTGGCATGGAGAAAACCTAGTGAGATGTGCAGAATGTACCCCATCATGTTGACTAATGGTATAGGCTCTAGCCTCACAGGAACCCCAGAGAGAAGTAAAAGTGGGTACCTACAGAAAACAGGAAACTTGATGTTTTTTATATGACTTGTTGAAAGCTATAGTTTTCAACTAATAGCATTATGCTGGAGTTATTTTGACTGTTACATCACAATGAAATTGCCTTTTTATTGTTATAGGAAATGTTTGCTGTTATTTGTCCAGACATGTTTTTCCTGAGTCACTTTCCTCTTGATATGTATAAATGTAATTATGTAAACAGTGTGTTTTTCTTTATTACAGTCATAAAAAAATGTAAACTGAGCACTTTGGGACACACAGCTTCATATATCTACCCATATTAGACCTTGTATTGAGTTCCATTAATTCTAGTAACTGCATTTATGCCTAACCCTAACTAGTGTATTCCTAAACCCAGCTGTAACAAAACCTTAATTCACACCTAGCCCTCAGGCCTACAAAAGGGGGTTTGAAGTATTAGGACCGGGCTTTGCTCTCCATTAGGCTTGTTGGTCTCTAGAAAGTTAGTGAATATGCCAGAAAAGGTCCTAAATAGAATAGTTAAACAAGTACACACACACACACACACACACACACACACACACACACACACACACACACACACACACACACACACACACACACACACACACACACACACACACACACACACACGTGTCTAGCTTCATTTTAAGCTCAGACACCAACACATTTCTGAAGGCCCTAAACAGCCTGTCCTGTAATGCAAAGCAGTGTTTTGCATGTGGATTAAAAAATTCAAAAACATGCTCAGATGTTTTTGGCTCAATCACTTCGAGGATTTGTTACATAAGCAGTGTTCTCCTGTGAATTTATACACACTAGTAAGCAGATTAGTGATTTTCTATCTGAATCCAAGTCAGCGGGACATGATATTTCCATTTAATGAGAGCAACAAGCTTAGTGTTGTGCATCAGTTTTACAAGCAAAAAGTAAAAAAAATAAAAGTTATAATAATAACATTATACACTAGTGCACCTCATGCAACTATAAGTGCACATATGCTCAACCATAGATGCTGTTGTCATTGTGTCTGGCAAATTTACGTCCTTCCAGTCCGAACATGAGCTTCCGTGCAGGTCAACAGTCTACGCTCCCTTACTTCTCCTAAATTAACGTACTAATTATTTCACATTTCTCACTTAGCCTCCCTTTTCTGAGCCAATTAGTCATTGCTCGGCTTCTTTATCATCATATAAAGGGTGAGATCATTCGATCACATGGCTTAGCCGAACCACTGCTATGCAGACGACACCCAGCTCTGTCATTTCCACTGGACAACCACACTGTCTCTGCACGAATATCAAACTGTCTCTCTGACATATCAAAATGGATGAAATCCCACCATCTCCGACTGAACCTCTCTAAAACTGAATTCCTTGTCATCCCAGCAAACCATCCATACAGCACAATATCTCAATCCAAAATGACTTCCTATCTCTGGCTCCTTCAAAGGCAGTTCGAAATCTGGGTGTTGTGATTGATGAATACCTGACCTTTAAAGATCATGTTGCCTCTGTTGCTCGTTCATGCCGCTTTGTGCTGTACAACATACAAAAGATCAGACCATACCTAACACAACATGCCACCCAGCTCCTGGTGCTATCTACTGTCATCTCCCGCCTCGATTACTGCAATGCCCTTCTAACTGGTCTTCCAGCCTGTACTGTGAGACCTCTTCAAATGGTCCAGAACGCAGCGGCGCGTCTGGTCTTCAATCAGCCAAAAAGAGCACACGTCACCCCTCTGTTCATTGAGCTCCACTGGCTACCGCTAGCAGCATGCATCAAATTCAAATTGCTAACACTAGCATACAAAGTCCGAGATGGTACGGCTCCCATCTGTCTGAATCCTCTTGCAAAGGCTTATGTCTCGGCCCGGCCGCTCCGGTCATCACAGGATCGTCAGCTAGCAGTGCCTACACCACGCTCAGGACAATCCAGACTCTTCTCATGCATCGTTCCACAAATGTGGAATGACCTTCCAAGCACTACCAGAACAGGAGCTTCCTTTTCAATTTTCAAGAAACTCCTGAAGACCCTGCTCTTCAGAGAGCATCTTCTTAACTGGCACCCTCCCTGCACCCGCCTCCCTCTCTACTGTCCACTCCTTGTTCCCTACTCTCCATGATTCATCATGCTGCCTGACTGCCACCTACGACTGACAGGAAATTGGTTGTTGTTCTTGTTGTTGTTAGCCTCAAGGGCAACATGCCGGTTATCACTTGTAAGTCGCTTTGGATAAAAGCATCTGCTAAATACATAAACATAAAAGACTAAAATAATAGCTAAATAACAGAATTTCAGCCTCTGAAGAAAGTGAAACACAAGTTAAAATAATTTTCATGTATTTATTTAAAATCAAGACAGTACAAAGACAATACAAATGTTATTTTAAAATACCAGGCATGTGAAATTCATATTGATGGTGTATAGATCATCTCATCTTAAAGTTATGATATAGTCATGTGTTTATAATGAAGTGAGTTATCAACACATCATGAAGTCCGCCCCAACTTTTCAAGCTAAATTTTACCTACAACATCCAACTAGTGGAGCATTTCTTTGCATTTTTTAAAAAGACAACTTAGAATATTTTCATACTCAAAATTATATATATATAAAAAAAACAAATAATACAATGTCATACATTTAAAGTGGACCCATGCAAATTTATACAAAAGCATTTTCCTACAAGTACTCAAACTTAAGCAGGCTCGTGTTACTACAGTGGCACATTGTATTCATACGAAGGAGCAGCTTTGAAGCGGCTGACAGTAAAAATACTAACACACAGGTCTTTTAGCACTTCATAATGAGCTGATTTTACACCCATGACCTTGTAATTTACCTGCACGCTCCACTGAGCAATACTTTTCATTATTTTGGTGGAAATTTTTCTCTGCGTTGGAAACAGGGTGTTTGAACAGGAAGTTATGCAGCTTTTGTACACTAAGTCTTTGTAATCCTTTCTTTGGACAATTTACAGTGATGCTTTCTACTGGTAAGTAAAATCCTCCTCAAGATGGCAGTGTGATGAATTATCTGCAACTGCACCTCCAACTCTCTCCTTCACTAAATCTAGGTCAACTGAGGAGGCAGTGCAGCTTACTTCTTTAACATCTTATGATCTAAATATTTGTAACCCCCTTTATTACTTTATTGTTGTTTATTTAAAGGTAGGTCACCTGCCAGTCCTTACATGGACCATTACAGGCAAGGGGGCAGTAGAGCCACCAGGGAAAACCTGAAACCACATGTTTAATAATAACCTTGGTTATTCTCATGTATTTTCTGCTCTAGCTTCATTTTAAGCTCAGACACCAAAGCAGAGCTGATGTTTCCCTCTTTGCGACGGCCAGGCTTTGCTTTCTTGGAACCTTTAGAGGCCAAAGCACCGGATATGGTTGGAACCGCTCGAGGCCTCTCACCAGCTCGAGTGCTACATGGAGGTGGAGGGGGCAGACACGGAGCAATGGGAGGTGGAGGCTTCATCCTTGGGCTGCCGGTCTCCTGCTGTGTGCTGCTTTCTGGGTCAGCAACAAGGAACTTCTCAGCAGGGTTGGTGAACCTGATAATGGGCATCTTGCAGGTCCAGGTCTGCTGCTCCCTGGGTCGCCTCTTGATGATGCGCCTCACTGGCATGATCCTGTTGGACTTTGAGTTGCGCATGTACATGGCCGTAGATATCACAACTGTTGCTCCTACCAATACAATAATGATAAAAGTGACCATGCCTAGAGCTTTCAAAGGATTGTCCCTACTTTTCAGTAAAAAGGCTGCCATAGGCCCCTTGAGAGGAGTCTGCAAAAGAGCACAAATAGAATCATTTGAATCTGAATTCAAGCCTTCTGTTTTTCCTAAGCATGCAAGCATGAGAGAGGAATGCCCAAAGCAATGACAGAGGAGGCTCAGACAGCATGTCTACCAGCCATGAGACACGTTGTCACTTATCCATCCGTCTTCCTCTGTGCTACAGCGTGGGACTGCCAACGCTAAACTTAACATCTAGGCACAATACAAGTTGTTGGGAATGCATCTGGCAGTGCGCCGTGTTATGATTTATCTCTGAGTGATGCAGATCAACCGGGAAGGATGACCAGGACAGTGATACTTATGGGAAAACAATGATTATGGAGTGAAAATTAAAACTAATAAAATAAAACTGCCAGAAAATCTCTGTTCATCACAGTCTGAGTCTGAGTTCAAGTTCTTGTGATTTCGTTTACATATAAATTGTCCAAGAAATAAAACAAACAAAAAAAAACATACATTTTTAAAAAACACTGCTGTACGCTTTTACTGACAACACCCGTCCAGCCGATGTTTACAGCTGAATGATGAAGAACCAGTAGTGTGTCTCACTTGACTCTCCGGATCACTTTGATATAGTTACTCTCAGGGTTGATTCGGGACTTTTTCACCGCGTTACAGTACAGCGTTGTGGATATGCAGACAGTCAGTAAGAGCAGGGATGTGATAATGCTGGAACAAATTCCAACAACCGCCAGCGGACGCGTGCTAAGGCCAATGAAGTATGAAAAAACTCGGCCTTTGATCTGAAAGAGCACGATCACAACACAGAAACAAAAACTGACAAATAAAAACAATAAAAGTATGAAAGACAATGAATGAATACATGATGGCAACACAAAGGGCCAAACCCCCCACTAATTTGTGTGAATGAGGGAAAACCTCAAAGGATGGTGAAGTAAATTTTAAAGGTATAGCGGAGGATCTGTTTCTTCTGGGTGGATCATCTGAACCATTGGTCCTCATTATTGTCAATCATTCTGGTGAACCATTCATGCAGGGTCGTTGTCGTACGTGCTTGTTTCTGGGCGGTTTCACTTCCTGTGCAAAGTGAAGGTTGGGCTCTGCACTGGTTTTCTGCTCGACAGGTAACCTAAAGTTCAGCGTGCTATTTGGGAGAAATTCATTTTAGATTACTGCTAGAAGAAGTTAGCAGCAGGGCCAGCAGCAGCTTGTAAACAGATTGTGTGCGAAGATAATTGGGCATTCTCTCACATGTGCATTTTTTTAAAGGGTGGTAGGAGCGGTTCTTTCCTGAATTTCAGAAAAATCCTCCGCCATACCTTTAACTCCAAAACAATAGCTTCAAAAAATTTTCTGGAGAAAAATAAGTCTTTGGACACATTTTACATAATTATCCTTTAAAAATTATGAATTTGGGGAAATGAAGCAGGATTAAGCTTACAGTGGTGAAAAATGCTAGCCTGGCCTGCCAGACTCGTCCTCTGTTTAATTCGGCACAGAAAAAGAGTCTGGTAACTCACAGGCAGAGAAGCACATGAGGGGCGGGACTAGGCAGCTCAAAAACGACCAATCAGAAAAAAGACGGAAATCCCGACTGTACCGCACAATGCTGTAATTTTCTAGTTGTAGTAAAAAAAAAATAGCATCTGGCAACGGTGCAAAATCTTTTATTTTTTTTAGAAGAAATGCTTTTAACACTTCTACTTGTTGTGGTTTTAAAGACATTTGAGTCATTTAGAACAGAGGAAAGAGTTGCAGCGAACTCGCCGCTGTCTTCGTTGTTTATGAGAAACTGAGCGTCGCTGTGTGTGACGTCCGCGACGCTGTAGTTTTTTTAAGCTGTAGTAAAAATGGAGGCTGATGACAGCGCAAACATCTTTGTTTAGAAAAAAGGCTTTTAGCGCTTCTACTTGTTGTGGTTTTAAAGACATGTTCAAATCATTTAGAACAAAGGAAAGAGCCGCAGCGAACTCCACTTCAGTCACCATGTTTATGACAAACTCGGGGTTATGGTGGCCTTGTTCGAGTTGAGCAACGCCTCACCTGGAAACCAGACAAGAGCAGACGGAAGCAGCAGGGGGAGTGGCTGAAAGCCATTTCCCTACATGTGTAGCTCGTGGGTGATGATGGATAAAGACATTGCGTTAGCATTCACACTTGTTTAATTTTTAATTTTAATTTTGGTGCCTGTTAGCAGCCGAAACACATCCTCACGTGCTTGTGGATATCATATATTGTATATGGAGATATGACTGTAATAACAAGTAAAGGTTAGCAGCTGTAGATTTAGGCCCTGTCCACACGTAGCCAGGGATCTGCCAAAACGTAGATATTTTTCTACGTTTTGGCCTGTCATCCACACAAAAATTGAGTTTTTTCACACGAAAACGGATCTTTTTAAAAACTCCGGCCAAAGTGAAGATCTGCGTTTTCTCCGTTTTGGGTGACTGCGTGTGGACGGACAAAACCGGAGTTTTAGGGTCCGCAACGTCACTTTCCGCGACAAAAAATGCTGACATCACGTGTGCGACCTGTGTTTACACTAGCCGGCATCATGGAAGCCCTCAGCTGTGCTCTGTCACTACCCGATCCATCAATTGTCCAAGCGCTTTTTGCTTTTTTGTTTTTGCAAGCGGAATTACTGCTCCTTGCGGAAGACCACAGACGAAGGACGAGGTTAAGAACGGGGGAAGTACTGCCGCCTACAGGTCTGGCATGTCCTTAACAACGTATTTATCTGGGTACGTGTGGACAGAGTTTGTTTTTAAAACGAGGTGGTGTGGATGCAAGTTTTTGGAGGGGCGGATATTCGTTTTCAAAAAACCCCGGCTACGTGTGGACTAGGCCTCAGTGTGCTCATAGGAAACGTGACAGAAGAACACAAAACACATTTCTCTTTATGGCCTATATAGTTATCATCATCAATGTAGCATGATTTACAGAATACATGTGAACAACTAACATTTCATGTTCTACCACCGGATGTTTGGATCAGAATGTGAACCAATCAGATCTTACATCAGGTGAGAGCCAGGCGTTTCCCATCATCCCCTAGGTTTTGCAGCCGTTGGAGAGCAACTGCAGCGCCTTGCTCCAAAATCTGCGGCTGCCTTGATCTCACGAGGTTATCGTTGCCTACGTATGCATGACATCAGAGCAAGTCGGCGTCAAGTCGGACACAAATCTAACCGGCATGCACTGAGCGCCGATCACTGGTGATCTAATCTGCGCAGAACTGGCTCATCTCGAACAAGGCCAGTGTGTGATGTACGATACTCAGCACTGATTGGCTCGGTTATAATTCTCACGGGGTGGGGTTATTTGAAGAGAGGTCCAAGACCCTTTCTCCGTGCAGCATTAAACCGAGGAGGAGTCTGGCAGGCCAGGCTAGAAAAATGCAAACATTTTCATAACTGCCCTAACTTCATAACTACAGCTTAGGAATGCAATAGGAAGCACAGCAAGCATGTCAAAAAGTAGAATGAGTCTTACCGCCTCTGTGATATCAATATTGACCACAGCTGTTGTGCTGAAGGATGGAGAGCCTCGGTCTCTGGCCTGGACCACCAGAGACCACTTGCAGTCCTTCTGCTTGGTGATGTTGTGCACAATCTCCATTGACTTGATAAAGGGCTTCAGTTTGATCTCCCCGGTGTCTGAGTTGATGTCAAAAGCATTGTCTGGGTCGGCTGTCATGATGGAGTACTCAATGACGTTGTTTGGGGATTCTGCATCTTCATCCACTGCCTACATCAAGAAATGTATGGAATAAAAGTATCAGTAAACACTTTTGAATTGACAAGAAACAAATTGTTCTTAATTTAGGACTTTTTGTGATAACTGAAGTACAAGTTTTGGGTCTTCACTTGCATTTGACAGCAACAATTTAATATGATCATGGCCAATTTTATCTGCGAAGTCCAATCATTTTTAAACATGCATTCAAGAGTCAGAGTAACACCAGGACAGGTAGGAAAATGCAATAATGCTAATTTGCTCAAAATCACGATGCACTTTGTTTACAATTCATAGTTGGAATAAAACTAGCTAAAAATTTTTTTGCCAAAAACTGGTCACAACAGCGTTCTCATATTCATTTTTCCAACTCTACAGATTTATTCAAAACTCACAACATCTTCATTTTGCTGAAAAGAAACAAAATAGTTTGAAACGTTTTGTGTTTCAGAAGGTTAACGGATAGGAGAAGATCCATGATGTACCTGAACTTTGACAGGTGTGCCAATGATCATGGTCTTCTCCAGGAGTTTGTCGTCGAACTCTGGAGGGTGGTCATTCATGTCTAAAACTGTGACAAAGACTTCAGCCAAGCCGTACTTTCCTTCTGAGTCTTCGGCCTTGACGTAAAAGTTGTATTTGGACCTGACCTCAGCATCCAGGCTGGTCCAGGGCTGAGTGGTGATGAGGCCTGATGACAGGTTGATGGCAAACCTGTAGGTAAGATTAGTCATCGTGTGACTCATTGCAGCAACAGCATCATCTAGTCATCACCTCAAGTCGAGTGTTTCTAGTAGGCTTCAGATTTCAGAGCATGTGTGACTTACATCCGTTTTTGTGAATAGCTGGTGAGTCACACTCATTGTTTAAATACATCCATAAATATGTACAGTATAATTATTATAATTCAAGTTTTTTTTTTCAAAACTTTCTGAAATTTAGTGTTGAACTTTTACATGACTAACATTATAAAGTAAAGCAGAACTGGTAAAAGAAAGTGACTTCATGGTTTTGTTGCATTGAAATCGCAGAGATCAACTTTAAATTCTTCGACTTCATTAAAAGTTACTTTGGTTTAATAATGAAAAATAAAAAAGTAAATAATGTGTTGGTATCAGTAGCCTAGACAGGCAGTAGCTGAAGCAACATGTTCAAGTCATGCTCCAAAGGAGCCTCAGCAGGTCTACCCATCAGTACTGTGTTATGTCAGAATCAGCACTCATCAGTTTGGTTGATGGGACAATGCAACAGAGTGGAACAACAAAGATGGGGATGGCTCATTTGAAATGGCTTTGGCATCAACTTTGGATTATTTAGACTTGGGTTTTTCTTTGAGTCAAGAACAGATAAAGGTAATTAAGTCCTTTATTTAGAAAAATGATGTATTTGCATCTTCTTCGACAGTTTATGGTGGACTGCCCCGTTGAATGACATCCGTAGGGGTGAGTACATCTCATTGTTTTTTGTCCAATAGCATGCTGAGACAATTTGAAAGACAACCATAGATTCTGCCCCATGACTGAGCTGTCTATGGGTTGTGGCCAGACTATATATTCACATAAACAGGATGCCTTGCCAGGCTATTAGTTTTACACCATGGAGACGGAAATCAAAAAATGAGAATGTGGTGCAAAAGTCAATTTATGTCAGTAATTCTACTTAGACTGAGAGACCATTTAAAGGCTCAGGAACCCTTTGCAGGTGTTCTAAATTCATTAGCTGATTATAGTGTGACACTTTGAGTCTAGAAAATAGAACCTTTTCACAATATTTTAACTGTCTGAGATTTTGAATGTGGGATTTTCATAAGCTGTAAGTCATAATTATCACAGTCATAATAAATAAAGGCTTGGCATATAAGCTTCACATTTTAAGTTGAATTACTGATAAATACAACGCTATCTTGGACCGGATACATGACAGGATATCCCAGAACAGCGCTACGCCCTCTGTTGTCCTGGCGGGGAATTGCTTTGTAACACTTGCCAGGAGACGGAGACGTCCGAAAGCAAACGTCTCTGTCAATGCGTGTGCGTCTCTCCCTCGTGGAGCTGATGCAGAAGCATAAACTAGGCTTTGTCAAAACAACCATTCCTACACAATAGGGGCTAATGACATCAACAACTTCTCAGAGGGTAGGGAGTAGCAGTATTCATAGGCAGTTTCTGCTCGTTGAGCAACAGTAGACACGGCTACACTTTATACGCTCAGCTCTCCTATATTCCAGTCAGAATTGACAAAACTCCTCAAATGGGAAGCAAACTTTTTTCAAGAAACCAAAACAGCCCAGTTAAATTTATTTGAAGCTCTTTGGATTTCCAACATCTTCTCACATCATATATATTTTTAGTAATAAATTTAACCAGTTCTTTTTTATAGTGGTATAATCAATTGAACACAATGAACCTTTTAACCAACATGAGCACACATTGTTGTCTTTCTAAGTGCTTTCGTTCGACATGGGCTTTCTGCCATTTCATTTAATCAACTGATTCTCAACTGTGAAAAATCACAAGTTGCCTTGAAACTGATAACTTTCACACAATTAAGATTGCTGTCTGCAGACGAGCATAAATTCTCACTTATCCTCGGCTGCACGCTGCCTTGTTTTTCAAAGCTACCGTTTCTGTGGCTCCAGCTGTCACATTGCATGTTAATTGGCTCTGCCTACATGAGACGGGCTAGGTTGGCTATTTTTAATTTTCCAATCCAATTAGAAGATTAGCTTTCATCTTGCAGCCATTTTAGAGCAAGTTGTTGTAGCAAAGGGCAAATAAAACTAGTTTTCCTGTTTTTGTCTTTAAACAAGACAAAAAGCAACAAACTACTGTCGTTGTTTATGAGTTTCCCATATAATTTGTTTTGATTTCAGTAAGCATGTGTTTCAGAAATGAAAGAGTTACATATTCGACACTGACAGATGATAAACTGGCAGAAATGACGGATTTTTACTCACAAATCTGATCCTGATCCATAAATCGTGTATTTGACTTCCCCCCAGGAACCAGAATCTGGATCATTTGCCTGGAAAAAGAACCATTATGGAGATTATAACATTTGCAGTGGTCTCTAGTATAAATACATTCCCTGTGTGTTGATCTCTGTGGGAAAAAAGCTCTTACGCTCCTGTTTCAGGAGCTAGAAGTGAGCCTGAGCAGAGTAGAGCGAAACACAACTTTTTCCTGGTATTCGGACATCTTGCCTCTGATTGGCTAACAGCAACACAACTCCATCACTGACTCCATTCGCTCTACAACATTGATGTGTGATCTCCACAAATAACACAAGCTTGGAGAAGCTTCTGCTTTGTGGTGGATTTGCTAATGCTAACGGTTAGCTTCTACTACCCCAGACAAGCTCTACTATCTCCTGGATGTTAAACTAACAGCCTTCCCTGTCATGAGCCAAGATGGGCGAGTCCACAATTTTTTTATGAATTCGTCTGTTGGCGGCTAACGCAGGAAATGGTGATGACGATTTTCATGTTTAGCTTGCACGTTAAACTCAGAGAGACCGATTACATCTAAAGGAAAACAAAACAATGTCTCAGTGAACTTGGAGTTTAAATGTGCTTTATGTTACTCTAATTATTAATCTGATAAATCAGATGTCATTTACTGGCAACAAGACAATTAAATAGTCTATAGCTGCTTATTTATCTTTGTTTTAATAAAGCTGCAGGTAGATAACCAGATTGGGTCTGTTGTGCAGAAGATAAAGTCTAATTTTACTGAGAGATGAAGTAAAAATATATTTATTATTTAATGATCATCTTCAGTTAAGAACAAAATGGCTATGCAGACAATGTTTTTTGCCTACATGATTCAACCTGCTTTCAACTAAGGAACGCCACTGAACCCAGTTCTATTGAAGGAATGGTGGATTATCTAATCACTTTGTTTGGGTTGAAGCAGAGATTAATCACAACCAACTCACAGTAACAGACACAACGCTGGAGCCTCCTGGAGAGTTCTCAGCCACTCGGGCGATGTAATACTCGGATGTGAACGTGGGGATGTTGTCGTTCATGTCCAGCAGGTTGATCACAATGTCTGCTGTTGCACTGAAGCGCTCCGGCGTGTCGATCTCCACCGCCAGCAGCTTCGCAAAAAACACAAACAGGTTTAAAAGTTTAGTCGACCACTAAAACAAGAGTCAAACTCTAAATGAGAAGATAAGAGTGTGAGCTTTTTAAATTAGTTTGCTATTTTTGAGGTAGAGAGACATGCCTCAGTTTTATTCAAATACATCCTGCGGTTCATGAGAAATTTAGCTAACGATGCATGAAAACAAAAACAAAAAATGCATTCATACAGACACAGGCAAAAATATTATCACCCATCTGATGGCAGACTGCACTAGTATTAGACCAATTCTACTTTTCACTAATGCATTTCCCTGTACTGGCTGAAGGATAATTCTGCTGGATCTGGACAGAAGTTTATTAGACGCTAGTTCCAGCATTATTATCTTTTTGCATGCTCATAACCCACTAGGAATGCATACACTTAGCTGTAATTTTAACGAATGACGTAGGCACATCATTTACAGCTTCCTCACATGACCATATTTGGAGTTGTTTCACACAAAGGCAAAGGTTTAGGATGAACTCTGGAAGGATCCATTCAGAACCGCCTCCAGGGACAGGAGGACTACAAAAGAAGGGCCAGAGGAGGGAAAAGGAAATGTCTTTTGGGAACACCTGCAGCAACCACAGAACCGTTGTATTCTTTGTTTGACTAAATTAGAACTTTTTGTATCAGGGCCTAACTTTCATTAAATATCCTGAAGTACAGTTTTTTACTGTTGTGGTATTTTTCAACATTCTGCCTACCTCAGATTAAAGAATAAGAATAAGAATTCAGAGTTCCATCTTTTCTATATAAGGGCAGAGATAACTCTTACAGAGCCCGATTTTAATATTTTAAATGATTATTCAAGTTCTAATCTATTGACATCCCACATGTTCGAGCTTTTCAAAGGCTAATAACTCAGACTGTTACCATGTTGAATCTTAATATCTGTTGACATACAAAGTAACATTATATAAGTTCAATGAAACCTGTTTGAAATGTAGTTGGAAAACAATGTTCATAAACCATTTTTTGAGCAGCTATATGTTCCTTTAGCTATTATCTGGATTTGCACAAGAAGCAATGATCCGAAATGACACCGTTTTAAAACATAGATTGCACCATTTACTGTCACCTTTTTTAACTCTTGATTTCAGATGCTGGGTTTTTGAAGTTCACTCCCAGAGAGTCAGTGAGTGATGCTGATTCATGTAAGTGAGGGAATGCTGCAAAAACCTGTGTGAGATTTGACAACTTAAACTCGCTGCAGATGTGGTTCATGGTGATGTGATTAAATTACAGAAGAACTGCAAATGAGAAGGTGACTTATGACTTCTATTTTCTGTGTATCTGCATGTTTAACTACACTAAAGCCTGATTCATGCTTAAGCAAAGGCACATTTGTGCCCTCGCTGCTGCAGCGTCGTATCTCCTCTGTATTCGAACTGGCCCGACCCTGTTGCAAAGAAATTCTCCACCAAAACAGCAGAGGGCGCGCTCCTATGCAGGTGTGCATACTCTTGTAGTGACGTGTCTGCCCTACTACTATTTACTATTTGCGACGCACATACACTCGCAAAAAGATGGACGACACAGAGCGAATTCTTTTATTGAGCAGGAGCTGCTTGAGCTAGAGGAACAACTGTTATTAGAAAGAGCACAGCGAGAACGACGAAGGAAGAGGCGTCGGTAGAGTGTCCGTCCATTGTCAACACTCACGCTGTTTACATTTTCTAAGGGAAGCTACGTTGTGCCGGAAATGACGTTGGGTTGTTTGGCTGACCAATAACAGACGTTCAGCATACAACGCGGCCGTCGGATGTTTAGAAAATAGAGCTCGACTCCAACCGACAATCCATCAGTGTTGGATCGCCCATTCGACGGCGCATCATGGCGATCCAACAGATCCGACATGCTGGAGCAGTGTCAGTATGAATCAGCCTTAAAGTTAAAGTTAGTTTTCCTAACAAGCGAGTTAAAACATTTGTTTGACACTCAGCAACAGTGCATGAGGTTCTACCTTAAATGAGAGGGTTGGTCCCTTTTCATAGTCGATACCAGAGGTGTCCTCTACGATGATGGTCACCTGAGCTTCGTTCAGGACAGTTTGTGGAACCACTCGAAGCACTCGGCTTGGCCCCACAAGTCTAAGCTTGAATTTGGCATTTGCTCCCTGAAAATCATCAGAAAGGCGGAGTTGGTTAGAATGGAGAGAAAGACGGTGAAACAGGTCTATCTGATTCACTGTGTCCTGGAAAAACCTTGGTTGAGATTAGATGGTAACTAATGTTACACGAGGACAGATGGAGAGAATAAACATGATGGCTGACAGATTTGTTGGATAACCAGATGTACTCTAACTGATTGGTGGATTTTAATGAAATGTTGTTCCAAGAGACCTCAATTTCAGGATAATAACAAAACACTATCAAAATGTGACAACACCTGATCTGAGTCGTTGACTGTGATCTTAAAGCCTCGGAGGATCTCCCCAGCAGGTGGGTGCTCAAACATTGTGACCTCAAACTTGCTTTGTGGTCCGTTTTCTCCGTAAAAGGTCGGAGGGTGGTTGTTAAGATCCACCACCCGGACCGTGACTGTGGTGATATCATGGTCCTGTATTTGACTGTTTGGCCCAGCCTCAGATGCCTGAATGAAAGTGTTCAGTAGTTTCAGTTAGAGTCCATTATTACAAACCTTAACACTGAGCAGAGAAAGACAAAAGAAAAAGCATTACCAGAACTTTAATTTCATAAAGCTCCTTTTTCAGCAGAGATGGGAGGGTGTTTAGAGTGATGCATCCACTGGTGCTATTTATATCAAAAACACCTTCACTGCCTGCAACAGGGTGACAGATATGAGTCTGAAACTTAATATAACTGTAGAAACCATAAGCCAGAGAAACAGCACCATCCGGACAAAAACGTTTTACTTATTTCCCATTTTTGCATCCTTACCATTCATAATGGAATAATGTATACTGTTGGGATTGCCTTGATCTCCATCTTTAGCATACACGGTGTAGATTTCAGAACCCTAGGATTAGAAAGTAAAGTGTTTTAGTAAATAAAAGTAGCTGAATGGGTGGGATCACTGCAGAAAACAAAACACAGTCGACCTACTGGGACTGAGACTTCATAGATGTAGCCAAAATATGGAGTTCCCACAAAGGTTGGAGGCATGTCCTGGGCATCAAGGACATTGATGGTTACAGTTGCTGTGGAAGTCAATACCTGCTCCTTCCCTTTGTACTTCCCACCTCCATCCTGGGAAAACACAGGGATTAAGGACTTTATAAATGCAATTTAATACAAATCCAAAATGAAACATAACAGGATGATCTTGAGATTGTAAGCAATCATAGTGATGAGAATAGGATTATTTTTTTAGACTTTTAGATCAGTCTCCTGAAGATGCTGCTGGATGATTTTTGCTCAAATCTAATAAATCTCCAATTCACCTACTTTTTATAATCTAGTATTAAAGTTTGAAAATTAATATCAAGAGACAATGAAGATGCTTAAGTGATGAAAAACTGGAAACTTATTTACATTATTTTCATTTAACCTGCAATCTTTCTGTATTTTCATTCCCCTTTAGAGGTTTGTAAAGCTTTCAGCCTCTGATCTATAAAGTATACACAATTATTGCAGGCTGAAGTATACAAATATACCTAATATTCAGATAAAACAAAATTAGAATAAATATATAAAACCTCAAAATAAAATTGGCCCTTTCTACCTGTAGACCCTCTGCCAGAAGGCAGTAGGCAAGCATAGGGCTGCATATGGCTGGTTTTTGATTAAAATACTAATATTCCATCAGGATGCTTTATGTGGTTTGATTCACGTTTGTAAAAATAGTATTTGAGGAATTAAAAGTGAGTGAAGAAACAACAAAATTCCCATTAATTACATGGATCGCTGCTTACAGACATTTAATAAATAACAAAAAAATAAATAAAAATAAAACATAAAAAAAGATGAATTTATCAGAATTTTTAAAGTTTTTTTTGGGGTTAAAAAGAAAACATCGGATGTCTTGTTAGAAATAAGGTCTAAAGGTCTTAGAACTGTTCTTTAGGAAAATGTGTAAGCAATGCTACAGCAGAAGATGTTAGTACAAATGAAACACTGATAACATGCATGTATTTGTAGAGGATGGGAATAAACATTGAAATTTTATATGGTAAATGGCCTTTAGGGGTCTACAACCCCCCAAGGCACTTTACAACACAACCAGTCATTCACCCACCCACACTCACATTCACACAAATTTCTTAAGTGGATTTTGAGGTCCATCGTTTAAACATTTTAACAACTTGTAAAAAATACAGGAAAGTGCGTTTTTAAGCCCATTCCCTATTGTTTCTCTCTCTCTCTCTCTCTCTCTCTCTCTCTCTCTCTCTCTCTCTCTCTCTCTCTCTCTCTCTCTCTCTCTCTCTCTCTCTCTGAGAGGCTGCACTGAAACAATGTGAAAGTGTTAAGGAAAGTACTTTTTTAAACAAACATTTTTATTCAACATTTGGTACTTTCCTGTTTACTCAGAATGAATCCTTGTAGTTAAAATTTGATAAATGTGTGTGTTGATGCTGAACTCTGCTATGGTGATCGAGGGCTTTATTATCAATGTAGAATTTAAACAGTAGATTCTACAAAAAGAACTGTCATTAAAAATGAAAAAATAAAAAATACATAAACACTGTCAAAGTATTCCTATAAGTGAGAGGGTTGGGAAACAAACCTTTCATCACCTCACAGCAGCTAACTTGGCAACTTTCATCAGAGTTTATTTACAGGACTAAACCCATCAAAAACACTGTTCTTCATAGGAAACCTTCAAAAATAGTAACTTAGACTATCTAATGCTGATTTTGCCATCAAGCAATGAAATACAAACATTTCCAAGATGTGGCTTGAATGAGAACCATTATGTTTGTTAATTTGTTCATTCTTCCCCTGAAGACATAACATCTAACAAGCCAGGAGTCTAGGTGTTACTGCACGTTTGTGGTTCTATAAAGCAACCTCTCACCTTTGCAACCACTGTCAGAAAATGTGTTGTTGTGGTTTCGTAGTCCAGCATCTCTCCAGGTTTGACCCTGAGGATCCCACTGTGTCCATCAATTGTGAACTTGGCAAATGAGGAACTCTGAAGACAGAAAGAGTGAAACACTTAGTGGGACAGAACCATCAGCTTCTGATCAGGCCCTCTAGCTGAACCTTTTATTTATAGAAAGTTCGTCTGACAGCTGAACAATGACAACTACTGGGTTGTCAGTGGTTGTCCCCACACCAAACATAAGCCCCTATTGATTCCTCAGTGCTGCACGCAAATGTAATTGAAATTTAATCCACTACAGTAACGCCATTTCCAGACTGCTCTCTGATATGAGATTAATCTATGCCCCTTTTCCACCTTCCACATGGCAGAACAGCTCTAGTGGTGACCTCTGCTCTTGACCCAAATGTCAGGGTCATATCCAACCAAGAGTGGAAGAATTAGACTGGAAACATCCTACAAAGGGGGAATGGATTTAAAAACTACTGTCAAATGCAAACATAAAGAAGGAAAAAGAGGAACGTGAAGGTCTCATTGCAATCAATCTAAATTCAGCTAAACACGAGAACGTTTTGACCATTTTAGTACAGGTCGAGGTCTGTGCACACATTAGAGCCTCTTTCAGCCCAACTGGAACAAGATAATTTAAGCTGAGCAGATTTGAGGCTTTAATATTTTGTAGGAATATTGATTCTGTGTAATTATCCATTCATTCATTTTCAGCCGCTTAACCGGAGTTGGGTTGTGGGGGCAGCAGCCTAAGCAGGGAGGCCCAGACTTCCCTCTCCCCAGCCACTTGGGTCAGCTCCTCCGGGGAAATCCGAAAGTGTTCCCTGGCCAGACGAGACACATAGTCTCTCCAGTGAGTCCTGAGTCTTCCTTCAGGTCTCCTCCCGGTTGGACATGCCCGGAAAACCTCACCAGGGAGGTGTCCAGGAGGCATCCTAACTAGACTATTGCTGAGCCACCTCAACTGGCTCCTCTCGATGTGGAGGAGCAGCGGGTATACTCCGAGTCCCTCCCAGAAGACCAAGCTTCTTACCCTATATCTAAGGGAGAGGCCAGGCACCCTGGGGAGAAAACTAATTTTAGCATTTTGTATCCGCGATCTCATTCTTACGGTCACTACCCAAAGCTCGTGACCATTGGTGCCAGATGGAACGTAGATCGATCGGTAAATCGAGAGCTTTGCCTTCTGGCTCAGCTCTCGCTTCACCACCACAGATTGGCACAACACCCGCATCACTGCAGATGAAGCACCAGTCCACCTGTTGATCTCGTGCTCAATCTTTCCCTCACTCGTAAACAAGACCTCGAGAAACTTGAACTCCTCCACTTGAGGCAGGACCTCATCCCTGACCCGGAGAAGGCATTCTACCCTTTTCCATGGGATCAGATTTAGATGAGCCGATTCACATCCCAGCTGCTTCATACTCGGCTGCGAACTGCTCCAGTGAGAGCTGGAGATCACGTTCTGATGAAGCCAACAGGACCATATCATCTGCAAAAAGCAGAGACTCAATCCTGAAGGTTGGTTTATGCTTGACGCGTCCGCGAGGTCTGCACGGCTCCGGGCGGCGAAATTGCATCATTTTAACAACCACGCCCCTCCACCGCACCTCCGCACGGCCCAAAATTTCCGCACCGTGCACCTAGGAAATTTTCTAACCACGCGGACGGTCGGACGCGGAAAAATATGGCAGACCGGCAAGAACTAGGATGACAGAGGTCCGTAAATACAGACATTTGTATGATTCAGCTCTCAAAGATCACGTGATCAACATGTTGTTAATAATTCTTGGAGAGAATTAGCTTGCACTGTCGGAAAAGACGAGGATGCTGTTAAAAAATGCTGGAATGCCATGTTGTAAACAGCAGTAATATTTACTTCTACTATGGTGTAGTGTTGGATGCATGCCGTAGAGCTCCATGCTGCCCCGTTCAGTTTGGGAGAATATTGGCTCACTGTGGAGACAAGCCGCATGAACCATAAACACTGCAAGTTGTGAAGCACTTTCCATCCGCGAGCCGCATCACCAAGCGGAAAGTGAATGCGTCAAGCAGAAACCAAGCTTTAGGCCACCAAAATGTATCCCCTCAACACCTTGGCTGCGCCTAGAAATCCTGTCCGTAAAAGTTATGAACAGAATCTGTGACAAAGGGCAGCCTTCTCAATGGGAACGAGCCCGACTTACTGCCGGCAATGTCAAGCTCTGACACCAGTCATATAGGGACCCAACAGCCCGTATCAGAGGGTCTGGTACCCCATACTCCCGAAGTACCCCTCCAAAGGGCCCCATGAGGGACACGGCCTTCTCCAAATCCATAAAACATATGTAGATTGGTTGGGCGATCTCCCACACACCCTCCAGGACCCCCTAAGGGTATGGAGTTGGTCTAGTGTTCTATGGCCAGGACCTCTCCACAACCCCTGAATAGACTTTACCAAGGAGGCTCAGGAGTGTGACCTCTCTATAGTTGGAACACATCCTGCAATCCCCCATTTTAAATAGGGGCACCACCACCCTGGTCTGCCAATCAAGTGGAACTCCCACAAATGTCCATGCGATATTGCAGAGCTGCGTCAACCAACACAGCCCTACAACATCCAGAGCTTTCAGGAACTCTGGGGGGATCTCATCCATCCTCTGGAGCCTTGCCCCAGACTCTGCTTCCTCACTGGGAGACGTGCCGTGGGATTGAGGAGGTCCTTGAAGTATTCCGCCCACCAATCCACAACATCCCGAGTTGAGGTCAGCAGCACTCCGTCCCCACTATAAACAGTGTTGGTAACACACTGCTTTCCCTTCCTGGGACGCCGGATGGTGGACCAGAGTCTACTTGAAGCCGTACGGAAGTCTTGCTCCATGGTCTCACCAAACTCCTTCCATGCCAAGGATTTTGCCTCTATGACCACCTGGGCCACATTCCGCTTAGCCTGCCAGTACCCATCAGTTGCCTCTGGAGTCGCACAGACCAAAAAGACCCAAAAGGACTCTTTCTTCAGCTTGACGTCATCCCTAACCGTCAGTGTCCATCAGCGGGTTAGGGGATTGCCACCACGACAGGCACTAATGACCCTGCGGCCACAGCTCTGCGCCTCGACAATGGAAGCAAGGAACATGACCCACTCTGACTCAATGTCCCCTGCCTCCCCTAGAACATTTTGGAAGTTCTGTCAGAGGTGGGAATCGAAACTTCTTCTGACAGGAGACTCCGCCAATGTATTATACCACACATAATGAAAAATCTCATTCGTTCAGCTGCTCAGTAATGCACCTGCATACCTGTAGGTAATAGGAAACACTCCCTCCTGAGCCCAGGTCTTTATCCACTGCATGGACTCTGTAGATGCTACTTCCTGGAGCAGTATCCTGATAACGACAAAACCCACTTTAATCCCAGATTTTAATCATTTCTTTGACTGTTTCAGGTGATTTAAAAAGTGTCAATATAAACATGAATTTTTATTTGATAAACCACCTCTGGAACATCAATGATGAAAGGCAGGTTTTCAAACTCAGGTGGCTCATCATTGGCATCCGTCACAAACACTCTCACTGTCTCTACAACCTGAAGAAAAGAATAAATTAAATCCTCAGCTTCTCATTCAAACCCATTCCTTTTAATCATGCATTCTCCAGGCAGAAATTAGTAAAATAACAACACGTTTAAATACATTTAGATGCCTTGTTTTGTCAGAACTGACATGATTTCCTCTGTACTATTTTACTTATTTTGCAGTAAACTAGTACATTTTTCTTAGGTTTTAGGTTATGAAACAAGTGATAAAAAATAAGAACAGCATTGCACAATCAGCAAAAACTTACTTTATTGCGACCATCTGTTATGCTCACGGTGACTGAGATTTCATCTTGTTTCTGTTGGAAAAACACAAATCCTCGTCACGTTGAACTGTTTTGTTTCCGAATGAAGAGTTTTTAATGGTTAGTCTCACCTCTCTGTCGAGCTCCTTAACCAGAGTTACGTTTCCTGATTTGGGGTCTACCCTGAAATATTCTGTTGAGCCCTTTTCAAAAGTGAGGCCGTATCGTACCGGATCCTCCTCTGGGTCGGTACCGTTCAAAATGTAAACCTGTTTTCCTGTGAGGAACCATCCAAGAAGAAAGGAGAACGGTCAGATTCCATATTGATGTCTCCCTTTGAGTCTCGCCATACGTCACAATCCAAAAGGTATTATGCTGATTAGCCTTGTTACATGCATGACCATTTCATTTGAAGGAAATAAAAAATAAATGCCATTCAATTACATTGATCATCATCTTAGACATTAAATCCATAAGTTTTCCCTAAGTTACTGATAAAAGTAGAAGAAAGTTGTTGTTTTTGTTTAAATAACAGGTGAGACCTACCAAGGGGTGTATCCTCAGAGATGCTGAAAAAGGCCATATTCCCATTTGTGCTTCCAGGACCATTGTCGTAAAAATATGGGGCATAATCCGATTGTCCTTTATGAACAAAAATATAAAAAATATTTTGAAAGACATAACAAAATAAAAAAAGACACAAAAATTCCTACAAAATGAACATAAATTCCTGCTTTTCGTTACATTTTATCCTAACTTTAAATAAATTAGAAATGCTAACAGAGGATTGTGCAGTGACCCACAGAAAAGCGAGCAGAAATTAAATTAAATATTAAAATAATAATAATAACAAGAAGAGGAAAAAAGTCACCATCGTAAATATGTGTGAATTTTAAGTTTGCATCAAAAACATGTTTATCCACTGAATTAAATGGGTTACAGACAGCATGAGCAGTCTGCTCTTATAAACATGCCCTCTCTGTGTTAGAGGATTAAGGAGATAAGAGCAAGCCCAGGAGTCTTATCCATGCACACTCAGACTACAGAAAGAGGAGGAAAAAGCCAGAGCCTCACCCGATCCATAGTGAAGCAGCAGGAGAAACAGGATCATGCGTGCTTTCTTGTTTTTCTTCATCCTGGTGCGGAGGTAAGGCTTGGCTGGCTCATGTGGAAGGCTTGGTGGAGGGAAAGCGAGCGGCGAGTGTTGTGCCCTTCTGGAGGCGTCTCAGCAGGCTCAGGAGGAAGAAGAGGCTGGGGCAGGTTCTCAGGCACTAATCCAGTGACGCATCCCTTCTCTTTGCAGACATCTTCTGCCTCACCGCTCACATTCTGATCTATTCTGACACAGAAAGAAATTTCTGAACAAATAGGCTGTTCCCAGAGTGCTGTATCAAGGCACCTCAGTGGGAAGGAAAAAGTGTGGCAGAAAACGCTGCACAACAAGAAGAGGTGACCGGACCCTGAGGAAGATTGTGAAGAAGGACTGATTCCAGACCTTGGGGGACCTGTGGAAGCAGTGGACTGAGTCTGGAGTAGAAACATCTAGAGCCATTGTGTACGGGTGTGTGCAGGAAATGGGCTACAGGTGCCTCATTCCCCAGGTCAAGCCACCTTTGAACCAGAAACAGCAGTAGAAGCGCCTGACCTGGGCTACAGAGAAGCAGCACTGGACTGTTGCTCAGTGGTCCAATGTACTTTTTTCGGACGAAAGCAAATTTTGCATGTCATTCGGAAATCAAGATGCCAGAGTCTGGAGGAAGACTGGGCAGAGGGAAATGCCAAAATGCCTGAAGTCCAGTGTCAAGTACCCACAGTCAGTGATGGTCTGGGGTGTCATGTCAGCTGCTGGTGTTGGTCCACTGTGTTTTATCAAGGGCAGGGTCAATGCAGCTAGCTATCAGGAGATTTTGGAGTACTTCATGCTTCCATCTGCTGAAAAGCTTTATGGAGATGAAGATTTCATTTTTCAGCATGACCTGACACCTGCTCACAGTGCCAAAACCACTGGTAAATGGTTTACTGACCATGGTATTACTGTCCTCAACTGGCCTGCCAACTCTCCTGACCTGAACCCCAGAGAGAATCTGTGGGATATTGTGAAGAGAAAGTTGAGAGACACAAGACCCAACACTCTGGATGAGCTTAAGGCCGCTATCGAAGCATCCTGGGCCTCCATAACACCTCAGCAGTGGCACAGGCTGATTGCCTCCATGCCACGCCGCACTGAAGCAGTCATTTCTGCAAAAGGATTCCTGACCAAGTATTGAGTGCATAACTGAACATAATTATTTGAAGGTTGACTTTTTTGTATTAAAAACACTTTTCTGTTATTGGTTGGATGAAATATGCTAATTTTTTGAGATAGGAATTTTGGGTTTTCATGAGCTGTATGCCAAAATCATCAATATTAGAAACAATAAAAGGCTTGAACCACTTCAGTTGTGTGTAATGCATCTAATATATATGAAAGTCTAATGTTTATCAGTACATTACAGACAACAATGAACTTCATCACAATGTGCTAATTGTTTGAGAAGGACCTGTATATTTTAACAGCATCATAAATGAGAAACTTTACGATGCATGGTGTGAATCACCAGCAGCTGAAACAGGTCAAAATCAAAACACACTATTTCTAATCTCCTTTATGAAAAAGAAAAAGGTGACACTTGAACATGACGCTTTAAACCTGCAAGCTTGATGACAGCTGAGAAATGTCATGCTTGTTTTTATTTCTAAACATAATTTCCACTTTGGCTGGAAGAGAGAATTTGCACCTTTTTAAACTGTGCACAAGCAGGTGTCATGCGAGTGCACATTTGTCTGACGTTTCAGCCGAGTGTGTTAACTGTACTGACTCATGTTGAGGTGCAGAGTGTGTGCCTCCTGTATTCACAGGTTTAAAAATAGTCTGAATATTTGAGCTAGAAAGAAGACAAGAAACAAAGCTATTAGGAGCATAACGTGTCCTGCAGGCAAGTAGTAAAAGTAAAGAATGGATTTGCAGAGTGGACTTTTAAAATGACATGGTTTGCATTAAATAAATACTGTAATTATTTAATAAAATTGGGTGTCTCATAACCTGCAGTCTTCTGCCTCTTCTAACAGTTTTCACCTTACAGTATTCCCACTCCACCTAGAACTCTTAGTCATGTTTTACATTCAAGATAAGATGACTGTTAGATCTAGTAAAAAAAATAAAATGTTTACCTCATGATGCACCTCATGTTCTGTTCCTACCTATCGATCAGGTCTTTCAGTGTTCGTATAGGTGGCTGTACCCCTCCCTGTCTCCCTCTCCTTTGGGGAATGCCACAGGATTCTTTCCTTGAGCCCCTTCATTTTACCATTTATATTCTCCTCTGGGTTCAGTCCTGGAACAGTACGGCCTAAAATACCATATGTATGCTGATGGCAGTCAGATTTATCTGGTCATGGATATATCAAACACTGTCCCCCTTCTTCACAACTGCCTATAAGAGGTGAGGAGCTGGTTAACTGCAAACTTTCTGAAGTTAAATGATCCTAAGACTGAAGCAATTATTTTTTTATCCTCTTAATCCCTCTCACCCACCTTCTGTTCCAAATTTTTCGACCCTCACTCTTAATCAAGCCATTATGAGAAAATGTTTCTTCCAGCTGCCTAGCTCATCTGAAACTGATTTTGAAGCTGTCACATTTGGAGTCTGCCATATACACCTTTATTACCTAATAGCACATGTGAAATAAAACATATAGGTTGGCGATATAAAGACAGACAGCAGTGAGCCTGTTCCAACTTCCTGTTTCAGCTGCAGCCAGGTCCTGCTGCTCCGTGAGAATGGAGGCAACTCTCATCTCTGCCTCCAGAGGGCGCAGCACCACAGACTTGATACAGGGATTTGGCGCATGCGCTCTGCCTAAATAAGTGAGCGCAGGGGCAGGCTTGTCTCCGTTTCCCCTCTTACTTGTGCATGTATATTTGACCAGGGAACAGGTAAATTCAGTGATGTTGACCATAAACATGATGAAATCATATAGAAAATTCATGTATAAACCAGCCGCTGGATACATGGACTTTATATTAAATCCTTTGTATTTTACTTGTCACAGCCTCCTCTGACCGCACGCAGTGATGGTTTTACAATTAGGCACAGGTCGGCGGCCGCCTGGGGCCCCTTTATGTTGAGGGCCCCCCTAGCCCTGACCGCCGGCACCCCTCTGTTAATGCCACAGTGGACCGTTCCTTTAAGACTCGATGCACAAACAGGAAGTGATCGGTAGTAATTTCACTCCAATCCAGGTGGTGGCAGTAATGCACCAAATTATTTTTTGCCAATTGCCATAAAACCACAAATAAGAAGACGAAAAAGCAGCAGAAGAAGAAGAGAGGCGGGAGCATTCGTAACAAACTCGAAGCAGTGGTCAAAACGTTAAGCATGTAATGTAGTTATCTTAGTGGCTCCAATAAGAGAAAGAAGCAGCTTGCTTCAAAAAAGATTTTATCTTCACTTCTGAAAGTGATGTCGTTTTTCAAGGTAAACATCAAAAGGAAGCAGAAAGGAAAGACAATGGAACATGTTTAAAGGGAGGAAAACATAGACCAAAATGGAAAATAGAGAAAAAGAAAACAAAGGCAAAAGCACAGGAGCACTGACAGGAAGAAGAAAGCAGAGCAAATATTGAAGGCACTCAAAGAGAGGGAAAGACAGGAAAAAAGAGGAGGACTAATGAAAAGGGAAAATAACTCATGGCAGAAGAGGGGAGAGTTTAGCAAATCCAGTTAAAGGTAAGATAGTCAAAATTTTAGTGTAAGGGGGCCCCATGTCTGTGTTCGCCTTGGGCCCCCAATTAGCTAAATCCGCCACTGACTGCACGTCACTGCTCATGATTGGATTGTGCTAACTCAACCCTGCTCGGTATCCCAACCTGGCTCTTTACAGACTGCAGAATGTTCAGAACAGTGCTGCCAGTTTGTGACAAACACCAAGACGATACTGTATCACTCCTGTTCGGAGTCATCTTCATTGGTTGGTTCCCAATTATTTTTTGGGGGAAGTTCAAGGTCCTGACCATTGTTTTTAAAGCCTGGTCTTGTCCCATCTTACTTATCAGACCCTATTACTTCCAATGTTCCTGCACGCACCCTGAGGTCTGCTGACCTTCTGTTGCTCAGCAAACCCAACCATAAAATACAAATCACAAGCATTTACATCCAGTGACTGTTATTCTTTTGCTCTGTGTGTTGTTTGATTGAATCGGTTTTATTTATTGTATTTTAATCCTGCTTTTATTGTACAGCCCTCGTGCTGTTTGGGATTTAGAAATAAATTGGTATGGTATGATGAAAGCCTCACTTAAAATCAAAACAAGGTCTCATCACCACCGAAGCAACTGTATTACAGCTTGTTTTCTATCCCAAAGCCCCATAACCTTGAACCCTGACCAAATATTAGTCATCAGTCTAAAAATGACTGACAGATGGTGGTTTCTATCCCAGCTGATGGCACGCTGCTCTGATGCTTTGGTTGACCTCATCCATCATTGCTCTCTTCATCCTCCCATCAGGTCATTTTCACACAGCGTTGGAGACATGCTTGTCCTAATCATTCACATGATCTGAGGTTTAAAACACAGCTTGGCAGCTGCTTGTTCCACGTGCACACGCCTTCACCAAACACCTGCACATTTACAGATGTTAGCATCTGTTGCAAGTGCCCTGGTTAGAGTTTAATTTTAGAGGAGCAGCCAGATGGCGTACAAGAGGATTACTATACTAAGCCTTTGTCATCTGCTGCTTCGCACTGACTTGTTTATAGGGAAATGGACTATAGGACCCCTGCTAGTCCCTCAGTGGGAACTCAACTCTAAGGATGGTGAAAATTAAAACATATAAGTATTACCTATCAGATTTGTGGCTTCAGTGAGGGGTTGAGAAGAAAAGCCTATAAAAAGATCCCAATTTCAAACCTAATTATTAGAACATTAGTTCCTGTTCATAAAAATGTACAAATGTAACAAAAATGATCGCTTATTTTAAAATGACATTTGATATATTACACGTTTTTAAAAAGCCTTTATTTTTACTGCTGATTTGGTGCCCCAGAAGCCAGAATCCGCTCCATCATCTCCTGAATGCTAATTCCAGTCAAGTATTTCATTTATTACACCATCTGTGTGTGTGGATAAAGCCTTCAGGCAAGACTAGACGTAGTTTTTGTCTTCCACTGCTTTTTATCATTTACTTAATTATTTTTAATACTTTCTTGTTTATGTAAGTGAAGCAAGCTCGGTTTTAAAGTAAATGTGACAAAACTCTTGTTTCACCCTGGACTTCACTTAAAAATCAATCATAAAATAAATCACAAAAACATTCTACAAATTTTTGAATTTGTTTATTAAATGGTGACACTTTCCAAAACATTTCAGGGATACATTAACAAATATCCTCCTTCATGCTGATACAGATGCACAACTGTGGTTATCTTAAAACAGATCCGTTTCTGCTCTACTAAGAGGTCTGATGTGGACAACGGCATATTCTCTGCTTCATCCTGCATGAAAATAAATATAATAACTCTAGTAGAATACAAAAAACCCTCCCTGCAATGTGACTGACACATTTTCCAGATGTGCAACCTCCAAATGAAACAAAAGCTCTGTTCCAGTCTTATCAAAGTACATCAACTTCCTGACTCAGGCGTGTGTGTTTTCTACCAGTCACATTAGACTTGTCTCTAAAAGATAACATCAGTGTGTGCTGACTGGGATGAACGTTCCACTCTGTGGACCATAGAACCTGGAGAAGAAGTCATCCTCGTGTTTACTTCCTTTTGCTGCCGCCTCCACCAGCCAGAATCATCACCAGCCTCACGAAGATGTTCAGGGTGTCCATGTAAATGCCCATGCAGCTGTAGGGCGAATCCACACATCCCATCATAACGCAGAATAGCAAACAACTCGCTACAGAAGAAAACATAACATTATACTTACGCATTGATGGGGTCAAATTTCTGCACGCCATACATCGGGTGTGTCTCAGCCTTCTTTATGACCTTCTGTGTATCATAGAGGAGGAACATGCTAAACAGAACTAGACCTCCATAGATGGCGACGGAGTAGAGGCCTGCTCCGAATGCTGAGGTGGGTGGAAGGAACATCGACCCTGAAGGGTGAAAGAAAAGACCGCACTGAGGCTCAGATGAGTGTAATAAAATGATTATCGTGGCTAAAAGATGGTTGATATCGGAGAAATGTTTGTCCAAAACAAAAGACAATCTTCATACTGGATTTTACAAATTTGTCTCTGGAGAGGAGTTTACAACACACGTTCTACAAAAACAACTCAATCTCTGCTTGTGTACAGGAACAGAGGCATCTACGTTATAATGTTACCTAAATGAAACTATATGAAGCGACAGACAGACAGCAGTGTTACACAGTGTAGCGTACTCTAAGATGCTGCCTGTGTGATTTTTATTCATGACATAAGAATGTTTCATGAGGAAATTCTGTTGTTTCTCTTTCCACTGTGATGATATACTATTTATTTAGTATGTAATTATATATTATTTAGGATATTCTCACTTCAAAGTTTCTCAGATTGTCAAAACAGATTTAAAAGCCTAAGAAAATAAGTCAATGTATTAGTCAATCTCACTGAGGGTTATCACTGCAGAAATGTTCCATTTTCAGGAAATTGTCATCTTTATCCTGAATCCTAACGCCTGGAACACACCAGCTGAGAAGCCCCGTGAAGTGGATCGCTCATGAAATTCGTGCGCTCGCCGCCCCTCCTCTGTTCACATCAGGAGAGAATTTTCAACGAGCGCTTCTGCTTACGCCTACTGTTTTCCAATGCCCCCACCCCCGTGCCTTTGCCGTGTGCGCGTGCATGTGTGTGTGAGTGTGTGTAACCAGTTTGTGCCCTGCTTGTTGATATCAGAACCTGCGCTGATCCTGCTGCTGTTTTGTAGACCAGTTACATTCTAAATGGTTAAGTAAATACAGTAACTAGTGTTTGTGGTAGTTTACAATGAAATCCATCTTTTGCTGTAAAAACTGCCTTTAAAATTATGGAAATGCTGCGTTTCTCTGCAGGAGTGTGTGTGTGCTTGTTCATTTTCATCTCTATAGTCTGTTTAAATACACAAAAATGATCACATTTATCAATCAGTGTTTTATTTTGAATTTTTTCTTTTATTTTGTCAAATATACCAGCCAGCCTCTTCTGCTTTGGTTTGACTTCCTGCCGAAATTGACGGGGCTCACTGACAGCTCACGAAAAAATAGAGCTCATGCCGAAACGATTGCTGCACGGCGCGGGCCTTCGTGGCGCTTCGCAGCTGATGTGACCGAGACCGTAGGTTAACAAGGGCGCCGATTAGAACCGCTCGTCATTCCACTGCGCTTCATTACGCCTCCGCGTTTGGTGTGTTCCGGGCGTAAGGATCCTGTAGTGATAATCCTCACCTGTAATACTATTTAAGAACAAAATGTAACTTAACTAACCAATAGAGGAAGCAAACACTACTCCAAAGCCGACAGCCAATGGTCCTCCCATGTTAAGGAACTTTTCACTTGGCGCACACATGGCCACTGTAGAAAGGCCTCCCACAATGCCTGCTGTGTACCAGGCAGCCCTTATCATCAGAGGTCCTCCCAGGAGAGTCAGTGGAGCAATGACCGCACCCATCACACCTGATGGAAGAATCAAGAAAAAAAATTAAGAATAATGATGATAATAATAATAATAATAATATAATTTTTTACAGCCCTTTTATATCAAGCACTGAGCAGACAAGATATTTGCAGATACAATAAGGCAGATAGGGTAAAAAACAGTGATATAACAACTGTACAGAATAAAAAAAGTGTTAATAAAATTTCTGAAATGACAAAAACAAAACTATAAAAACTATATCAAATGTATCACTATCTATGATCACAAACAACAAAACTGATTTGGTAACAAGTGTTACCTGTGTAGATTCACAAGACCATACTTCTGAAAAATGTTTTCTGTGATCCTTTACATTACTGCCCTCTAGTGGCTCTAGTATGAAACGGTGCGGAAAATCTGAGTCACAAAATATGTTGGTCAAAACAAAAGCAGGTTTCCCAGTAATTAGACAGATTCGTGCTGAAACCAAACAATTATAACACCGTTGGAGGTGCTGCGGTTTCAAGCTAAGCCCTTTTAAAGCACATCACAAAAATGCTGAAAGGACTAAATGTTTTTTTCTCGTTCTTAAATATTTAGTATAAGAGGTTTGTTGTCATTTTAGAATAAATACTACTTTGTTTCTAAATGAAGAAATGGTTTCTTCATCCATCTGAAAACAGCGCCTCTTGCTGGAAACCAGAAGTTGCAGAAGAAAAAAAGTTCCCAAAAAATGGATTTGCAGCAGCAACAATTAGCTCCAGATTGTGAATATATGAACATAAATTTATGCCAAATACTGAAGCTGCACAGCCATACAGTTTTAAGCCAGCAGCAAGAGTTAATGGGAACAAGCTAAACAGGGATAATCATTGAAATGGTGAAAGAGGAGCTGCTGAAGAGCATTTTTTATTTAAATATATTTCAACAGAAACTTGTCCGCTGACATATTACATTACATTAAACACGTTTCCATAAAAACAATTTTTGTTCTCTAATTTATGAGTTTTTAAGGTAACTAAATCATAAGAGTGGCAACGAGGGGAACTGTAAAATAGTTACAAAGCTTTTGATGTTTGCTTGTTCAAGTTTAATTCAAACAGACATGAAATATATAATAATAATAATAATAATAATAATAATAAAAATAATAATAGTATGTAATTTTAACAGTGATGTTGAGAGCAGAATAAAAGTTTTTACTTGTGTCTTTACTTCATTTTGTGGCATTGGAATTTCATGTTGTGCCTTAAAGTGACAATGTGTGTTTTCTGTGGCGATAGGGGGCGGTACATACCTAAATCATTGCAAGCAAGCGGTATTTTTGTGTTCGAGTAAGACCTTACCAATGGATGGCCATTAGGGTCAAAAATCCCTGAGAGCAGGCCTCCAGCAAAATAACAAGCACATCAGACTCCCTGTCATCACTGATAACGAGTGAAGAGGTAAATGTGTAAAACACTGTTTATGAATGGTGAAAGTTTTGTTAGAAATCTGTAAATGTGTTTTGTCCTCACGAGCTTCCATAGAAGGAAACAGGATGTAATCCTGATTCTGTGGATAAACTGTAGGTGAAAACTTTCACACCTGTTAATTCTTCCATTTAGGACTGGAAACTGTTTAAAATCTGTAAACTATTTTACTTCTTGTTCCCGCAGCCTCCCTGAATTATTCACCAAAAATGTTCCGGTATTAATTCATTCACAAAGAATCCCCCTCTCACGCCGCCAATATTTTCAACAACTGAGCATAATTTCATTTATTTTCAACAACATTTTGATGGATACATCCAGAGATTGCTTGTAAAAACTACACATTGTCTCTGCACTACATTTGGCAAGTTTGGATCTGGTCACTCTACTGGGAGGACATCCCCCATAAGACTGCCCCCCTCCACCACGCAGATGGAGCGCAGCAACCCCAAACACTGAACAAGAAACTGTACAGAAACTGCAGGTAAAAAATCCTGGTACCGCCCATGCCAAGGGCACAACAGCAGAATTCCCTGGAGGGAGCTAGGATCGATCCCACAACCCTACAGTTACTGGTTAACATGCTCTACCTTCTGAGCGACTGCTGCCCCAGCACTATGCCAACAAATGTTTCAGACACTGAATCACAATCAAACCTGCATGAAGCATCCAAGCGAGATGTTTTGGCACCGGGCTGTGCTCGTATGAGATGGACCGAACCAACATTCCTGCTCCAATCATTGCTGCAAAAGTTGCTCCAATGGCCTGGAATAAATCAGGAAAGTTCATGTGAAATAACCCATCTGAAAAAAATGTGTTTTCCCTAAGCATCTACGCTCCTACAAATATTTAGACTCCTTTAAAATGAACCAAAGCAGCAAAGCTCACCAGCCAGGATCCTCTCATCATCAACCCCATGAGCACCGGTGTTCTGCTCACAGCTACAGCCGACAGAGCAGTCAGTCCAACGCTGCCTGCAAAGTACATGTAGGTGGAGTGGATCCTATCCTTCACATACTGAGGCCAGATCCTGCACAGGAAGAGATTAATCTTTAGAGGATGTGGAAAACCTTTTGTATGAATGTGGAGCTGCAAGAGTAAAGATTAAGCTCTGACGCTCACATCGATTTCTCAACGGCACCAATTTCATTAGACATGCCGAGTCCATAGTAGCACAAAGCTCCAAGGCCCAATGCTGCACCTCCAGCCAGAATCATTCTTCCCATGCTGTCAACTAGCAACAAAAGCAGATTTTACAGTTGTTTTTATACATTTTCCATAATGCCACAATATTATCCACAGCACTGGAACATTTCCTAAGTTTACGATCTTCTACACATCTAACACTCCTACATTCTTTGAAAGTCGATCTGTTTAAAGTGCTGTTTGTTATTTAACAAGCAATGGAAGAATAATGGGAAACAGCTATGTAAGAAGGCTTAATTAAAGCATCTACTTTTGATGGCTGTATCTGTTGCAGGTTCAAAAGCTGCTTCTTTCAGTTGCTCTCTGGCGGTCTTCACACGGCGGAAACCAAACCTGGCTTTGGAGGCGAAGCCCTGCAGAAAGTAGAAGAAATGCCCAATGGTGACTTAGAGCTGGAATTTAGTTAGAAACAACCAGGAAGAACTACTAAGTTTGATCTAGTGGTAAAGATGTAGAATAATCTAGTGACGAGGGTCAGTACTGCTCCTGGTCTGGGATCTACCTCAGTTCTGTACCGTCTCAGAGCAGATATAGAGCTGGTTCTCGGCTTTATCAGCTCTTAAATGGTTGCTAATAATTAGTCCTGTATTGGGAGTAGTCTCAGAGCTGAAAGACACAGTTAATATTTTTGATGCACAGAATTAAAGATGCAAATATAGGAAGAAAGAGTAAGCTATTCTGTTGTGTTTTCTGTGTCAAATTCAAACTCCCAACTAGGGTTGGGCGATGGTCGAATAATTTGTCCCATTGCCCAACCCTAATCCCAACATCAATCTGTAAAGTGTACAGAATCACAAACGATCATGTTCCTAAAACTAAGCAATCACCTGTTAGGGTTTGGTCCGATAAACTAACCACTCAATCCTTACAGATTATAGTTCTAAAGTGCCTAAGTATGAGTTCAGGAGAGCCTGGAAGTATACAAAACCACAGTAACACAAAGTAGTGTAATGACATTGTGTGACATTCTTGGTTAAACAAGATTCAGATGAAAATTAAATAAATATAATCATTTTTGTTCTGATTAAAGAGCCACCATGGTCAGCAGAAATAAGTGTGGTAATATAACATTACCTGCTGGGGTGTGATCAGCGTTGGACAGGCCTTGAGGGTGGGAGCTCTGAGGGCTGAAGAGCCCTGAGACAGAGCAGAGCGGAGCCCGAGGAGCGGGAGCGTCCTGAGACATGTCAGCCTCGCCACTAGCATGTTCGGTGTTGTTCTGGTCTGTCTGCAGGAAAATAAACAGGAAGCTAGGGAAATAATTAGACTGGTAATCCTCCTCCTCAACTGCGGTGTTTTCATTATGAACAGGTATCTCGTTAGGTGAAGGGCACTAAACAACCAACAAATATGCAATATTTACATTTTAATAAAACAAGCCAGTGCAGATTAGCTTATTTACCCTGAGCTAAAGTTCGTAGCAACGGTTAATGACGTAATGGATTAGTTACGACTCTGACGTCCTCACAGATTACAGCAATCAGACAAAACAGGTAATAAAAAACATGTCAATGATCCCAACAAGACTTTAAAAGAAACAATACTCACCGAAGTGTAAGAGCAACACTTTTCCAGTCACCTCTCTACTACAAGAGCGCAAGTTAATGACGCAATCGTTTTGCAACTCACCTTCCGGAAAATTCTAGCATATGCGTCATGATTAAGCGACAGATATGTTGGGAATTGTAGTTCAAACATAGATACAAATATCTATGTATATCTAGTGCAAGCAGATTGTTGGGCGATGTAAACAGCTAAGGACCAAAAACTGCAGCACATGCATACATTTTTTAAAGAAAAACACTTAATATTTTTAACCAAGTCTCACGAGTCTATAGGTGATTATATTGAATGAACAATAATTAGTGTTACATCCTTTTCAATAAATGTGTTAGCTAACATATTATATTATATTATATCATATTATATTATATTATATTATATTGTATTATATTATATTATATTATATTATATTATATTATATTATATTATATTATATTATATTATATTATATTATATTATTCAGACTCAAATATGCTTTATTACCTCCATAGAATAAACATTTTATTTTTTGATTACAGAAGTTTAAATCAACATGAAAGAGAAATTGATGGATGGAATAATGGAAACCATACAATAGTGTGGAAAAGAACAGAAACAAATATTATTTGGTCTTTTTTTTTTTTTTTACATTTCTGAAAAAGGACAGTTTTGCTTTTGCTATGAGTTGCACTATACAGTCTTAAGGCCAGGAATTGTTTTCTGTTGTGTTTAGTGGCGTAACGTGATGCAATAAGCATTTGCTAAACAAAGTTCTGCAGCTGATCAGCATTTTTTATTATTGTTTGTTATTTTTTGAGTTGATCTACACACCCCCTACCAAACAACAAACGGACAAAAGCCTGATGAACACGAGATTCCTGTAAGATTTCCATTCCACCTTCATGATGCAGATTGTGCATCTGTCCACTAGATGGGGGTCAAGGTCTATTGTTGAGATCACAACAGGGATTTTAACCATTAAATTTGCTCTAAAATCGCTACATCTCTTTGATTATTTAGGGCAACATCTTGGTTTTACCCTGATAATGTATTTAAATTATGTTTGTGTTTCAAACTAATTTTGTCTGCAGTTGTTTGTTGTCTCTCAGCTCTCCGTGAGGGGCGCGCCTCCTGCCTCCAGCTCCGCTCCTCTGGTCCAAAATGTCCTGATCGATTCAGTGAGCTGAGACACTTGGACAGACTTCAGTTCACTGGAAAGATTGACCTTCAACCTGCGTAACATGATTTCGCTTTTCCTGTTCATTTAGTCAAATGAAAGAAGTACGGATGCGTTTTGGGGTAATAATTGTTTTTGGCCACATAACTGAAAGAACATTGGGAAAGTTTGGGATCTCTCTCCGGAGTCGCACTTTCAGGACAGGCTGAACAAGTGGATGAAAAGAAGGACGAATTCATAATGGTTGGTTCTTTTCATATTTCATTGTACAAGCTGTTATGAAACACAACTTTTAACTATCTCAGATTATCTGTCAAATATTTATCTGACTAAATTCAGTACGTGCAGGATTATTTTGTTTTATTTTATTCTTCCTTTACCCCAAGTTTTGAATTACATTTATCTGACTTCACAAAAATAAGCATTCTTTTTAAATTGGAAGCTGTATTTAAACAAATTACATAAAAGTACAAAACTGTCAGTTTGTAAAAATGGTTCTAAAACAAGAAACATGGTAAATAATTCAAAAGATCCTTAGATGCTACTATTTTCATTAGGCCAATCAAATCAAAAGTCAGACCATTAAATCTTTCATTTTAGTTATTATAGTAAATTACTCTGATGGGTTTTATTTGCTGATCATTTGCTCCGACCATGTGATTACACACACAAGTGATTACAATAAATAAAAATGTGTACTTTGTATTTTCCTGCTTCTAACAAAAACAATTACACCCATTTCTCCTACTTATTTATCCTCTCACAGATATTTATGTTTGGAGAACAGTCACCATCAAACCAGGCTTTGGCGGCTGCAGTTTAATTTGTCTCCACACAAGATTTACATTAAATAAGAGGCAGCTATTAAAACCATTTGTAACAAGATGATAAATGGTGCACCAGCGGTTTTGTTATGAGCAGATGATCAAACGTGTCACATGCCTCAGTGGTTTGTGAATATTCACCAATGTCAGCTTGTGTGTATTTTTTTCTTCTCTTTTTAACACAGCAGATGCAATAAGCTGGGATAATTGGTGTACATCTAATTTACTATATAAATGACAAAACATCTGACTGCTTATTTACTTGATGAATTGTTGATGTGGAATACCTTTTTTTCAGTCTTCAAATCAGAAATGAAGGATGGTGCAGATGCGGGACCAGTGTTCACAGATTTTAATCAATAATAACCTTTTTTGTGTCATATTTCTCATAGTGTTCTTTTACCAATTAGTTCAGGTAAAGTAACTTTAGAGAGTACAGTTAGATTGCATTTACAATTTTCTTCATTTCATGCATTTGACCATCAGACCTGTTCTAGTTGAGCTGTAACATCCAACAGTGTGACGTGTGAATGACCCAGCAGTTTATGTTCTGCCACCTCAGCCCCCCCACCACCACCAGAAGGGTCCGGAGTCACTCCCATGTAAAGGGACCTTTGTGGTTGTGGCATGCAGCAGGGTGGTGCAAGACAGCGTTGGATTTTCCTTCCAATGAAAACACGTCTCAGTACATGGGCTGTTCACCTTTTCATTACACGCCATTCCACATCAACAGTGCTCCACTGGAGCTGCAAACTTCCTGTTCCCACTCAGAGAATTTCACAGGCAGCACTCAACCGTTCCTTCTGTTTAGACTGCAGTCACTCGGACGCGCTCTTTTGCTCACAACTGGCCGGGACAGAGGTCGCAACAGGATGTAGAAACTTTCACACATTCAGGTTCACTCGAAGTAAGAAAATAATGGTCATTTATCAGGACTATATGCAGTTTTCGTGTCTAACACCAAAAAATGATAAGCATGAGGTGTTTGTTAAAGGCGTAGTTCACAAAAAAGTTGTTTTCAATATTATTTCTGATTACCATTGGTCACTTTGAGTTTTTCATGGAGGCTGAACATGATTCTGATAGAAGACCGACAATGAAACGCTAGGATTAGAAAAACCCTGACAGATCTACGTCACACTGTCACTTAACATTCGTGGACTCACTCATATTGACTTAGGAGGAGGAAGGCTGTTGTTGGTTTAGCGTCCAGGAAACAGATTGTCTCGGCTAGTAGAAGCTAATCGTTAGCATTAGCAACCCCACCACACAGCAGAACTCCTTCAGGCTTTACTTATTTGTGGAGATAAAACATCAGTGTTGAAAAGCAAACAAAGTGAGTGGGAAAGTTGCATTGCTATTAGCCAAGTAGAGCAGAGATATGTCAGAACATCAGGAAATAAGACTCTAAGATCGTCTGATGCTACTTTCGCCTCCAGCTGACTTTTACTTCCTGAAACAGGTGCATCTGAGCTTCTTCTCCCCTGAGTATGACTTACAAGGCACGTGTATATGTTCAACAAGTAAACCACACCTTTAAATGAGGCATCAACGTCCTGCTGCTGCTTTAGCAAATTTTTCTGTGAAGGGTGTTTCAATTACTCTTATGAGTATTGTTGACTCAAGAAAGGTGGCAGGATTACGTTAAACTCCAGAGATTAGTCAGGGATCTGCATCAAGCTGCTGCTATCTTCAAAGTAAACAACCGGTAATATTAATCTTTCAGAAAAGCGCAACATGTTCTAAACACGTGCCACAGCCCTATTTCTGTTTGAATAGCAGCTGATCGCCACCTGCAGCATCCTGAGTTGCCCCCAGGTTTGGAGCACCATAATTTATCCTTCTGCAAGCAGGCCACCCCTTCAATTTCTGCACACTTACACCTCTCAGCATTTAGACATGTGTCAGTTTCACTTTACGCTTTAGAGCCACACAAACAGAAGAAGTCAACAAGGGCTTCTGTTGACAAAAAAACGTAGCAGATGGTTGTTTGGACATCGGGCTGCTCGGCTGCCTACATCTGCGGGGGGTTTAGTGAGTATCAGTCAAAGCCAGACAACTTGTGAGTTTTTTGGCTAGCAGCTTTGTAGTTGTGGGATAAGAGTTTAATTGGGAAGATTGTGCTTGATTGCAGCCTGTCGCTCACATTTCACTGTGCTGCCCCGGTTGTTTTTCTGCTCAGTTTTGAAAACATTCTAGACAGACTAACTCCTAAATACAGTGTCTCTGTGCAGCGGCCCTCAGTCTAGCTTGGTGGGTGGGCAAGTTCCTAAAATGCACCGCTGCGTTTAAAGATAACAAGGACTTCCTTACAGAGTAGATTCTGTTTTAACTGTTGTTTTCTCTGTTTATCTTCATATGTAGAATAGTTTTGTTTCTAAGATAAGGTTCTCATCTCATTTTTGCAGAATTGAGAGCGGCTCTTGTCGCATGTCTAAACATTTAGGGAAGCTTTGCATTTGACTCAGCATCACAGTGCAGTTTTCTGTATCCAGCAACAGAATCAACTTCTCCTAAAGACCAAGCAAATATTACAAAGAGCTTGAAAGAAACTGAGATCAGACACAGCTGTCCTCCAATGGGTAAAATGTGCAACTGACAGATGGATGTGTTTTTTTTCCTCTTACAGGATGAAACATCACCTACGACAGGGAATACAAACAACCAGAAGGCTCCTTAAGAAGGCAACTGGAGACTTGCGAGATTGGCAGAACCTATTAGGAGGCAGCGTGCGAAATAATATTCATCCAAGAATGAGGATCAAATACACAATACCCATCGTCTTCTTCATGGCACTGGTGATCATCGAAAAGGAAAACAAGATCATATCAAGGTAAGTCTTTGTGCTGTCGTGAACGTTAGGTTCACCAAAAAGGCTGTGCGTTTAACTTTATCTCCCTCTCTCAGGGTGTCGGATAAAATCACATTGAAGCAGAACGTTCCAGACCCTCTCCAGCCTGGTGGTCTCTCCCACATGCTGCTGAAGCACAATGCTTCCTTCCTCTTACACAGCAAGGACTTTGTGCTGATGAAGCGGCGCCTGGAGAACTACAGCAAAAACCAAGAGGCGATGCAAAAAGGACGGAAGCACGTTCTTCTCTTGGCCACCACCAGGACTGGCTCCTCGTTTGTGGGCGAGTTTTTCAACCAACAGGGTGAGAACATGTTCTACCTGTTTGAGCCACTGTGGCACGTGGAGAAGATGTTGACCCTGGAGACTGGAGGTACCAATGCTACAGCGTCGGCCAAGGCATATCGGGATGTGCTCCAGCAACTCTTCCTATGTGACTTCTCCCAGCTGGAGAGCTTCATCGATCCCCTCCCTGTGAACCACATCACCACGTCTCTCTTTCGCAGGGAGTCCAGCAGTTCTCTGTGTGAAGAGTCTGTCTGCAGCCCGGTCGTTAAAGGGGTCTTTGAGCGCTATCGCTGCAAGACAAGACGCTGTGGACCCCTGAACCTGACTATGGCTTCTGAGTCTTGCCTCAAGAAGGAGCATAGGGTCATCAAGTCTGTAAGGGTACGCCAGCTTGAAAATCTCCGTCCACTAACCAAGGATCCACGTCTCGATATCAAATTCATCCAGCTAGTTCGGGATCCTCGGGCCGTGCTGGCCTCACGCATGGTGGCCTTTGCTGAGAAGTACAAGAACTGGAAGGAATGGGCTATGGGTGGCAATGTGCCACTCGATGATGAGGAGGTGAGGAAGCTGAAAGGTAACTGCGACAACATCAGACTATCTGCAGAGGTTGGCCTAAGGCAGCCCCTGTGGCTGCGCGGTCGTTACATGTTGGTGCGGTACGAGGACATCGCTCGGTTCCCCATGAGGAAAGCATCAGAGATGTACCGGTTCTCTGGTATTCCTTTCACCCCACAGGTGAAATCTTGGATTCTGAAGAACACCCAGGCCTCTAACGAGACCAGCGGAGTTTACTCCACACAGAAAAACTCCTCAGAACAAGTGGAGAAGTGGAGGTTCAGTTTGCCGTTCAAGATTGCACAGGTGGTGCAGAGAGTCTGTGGACCAACACTGAAACTCTTCGGCTACACTTTTGTTCAAAGTGAAAAGATGCTCACAGACAAATCCATAAGCCTGATTCAGGATAAAGTTTTTAAGTCTTGAAAAACTGCTGAAGAAGTTAACATGATGAAAATCTTTTTTTATGCAATCAATTCTATTTATTGGGTGCTTTAATTCTGATACAGAGCTATATATTTTCTAGTTTGCTTTTTTTGAACAATTCTGGTAGTATTTAACATTGCTTTTTAAGAAATGTAGATACAAATATAATTATTGTATTAAATGAGTATTTGAAATCAAACCAGAAACATAGAAAAAACACATTGAAAACAAGACCATGTGCATGTTTACGTTTTGCACTGCTCACGTTTGTCGCTGCTGCATCGTTTTAATTTCTGTAGGTTTAAAGGAGATGCAGCCGTGGCTTTTGAGAGCAATTATTATTTGTTTAAAACCTCTGCAGGAACCTCCTGTAGATTTTATTGTCAACTTGTTACTGCAATAGCATCAAGTCCTAAACCTTCTCAAAATATGAATGACTTTGTTTAACAATGCTTTTAGCCAGAAGAGGAAATACCAACTTTTACCCAAGTTGTTTTATTTCAAGATTAGGAAGCCATGCCTCATGAAAAAGCAATAACGTAGTATTTTTTTCTTCCAGAAGAGCTGAATGTTCTGTTCGTTTCCTATTTGCTGAAATTGTTCTACTTGTTTGAGATGAGTGTAATTTTGCTGAAAGTGGTTCCTGATGATGCTTGGGACTGTTAGGACACATCACCTTAAACAGATGTTTGTACTGTAAGCTAACATTCCAACTGCAGCTGGTTTGCAGGATTGTGTGAGGTTTGTCGGCAGGTCTCTGTCTGTTGACACAGGTCTCTTGGCTGGTGCTGAAAAGAGGTCTGGATTCTCTGGCTCAACAGGGTATTTGCTATAGTCCAGTTCTTCTTTTTTGAATTTTGTGTTTCGCAATAAATCTACTTTCACAATTTACGAGAAAGCTCAACTTTGTGGTGACTTTGCACCTGAAATACAGTAACATGATGTAGAAATCAGTTTGTATTACCACAAACAGCTCTTGTCCTGTCTCTTTTTATTTTTGACATCTCAACAATAATGTGGCAGATCCTTGTGCAGTGCAAATTCAAAACATCTCAAAAAACAAATGCTGCTTGGTCTTATTTGGCATTTGAGTCACCATTTGTAACAATTTTCTCAGAATCGTTTCAGTTGTCAGAAACTTATTCAAAGGGCAAAAAAAAATATTAAGTAAACAGGAGGAGGAGTTAGTCTCTAAAATGCAAAAAAATGTTGATCAACTGCAAACACATGATTTAGAAACTTTGTGACCATAATGGAATTTTAAAAATGTGTGATACAACAGTTTGTAAAACATCTTTCAAGAGTGTGTGAGGGAGTCTGTAACTAGTAGCTAACTGCTGCAGTGAGATCCTGCTTGAGTGAAACACTTCTAACCAATAATATTCTCATTTTAATGAAAACTACATTTCCTGTGTTGTGAAACCAATTGAGGTGATTCTGAGTGAGCGTGATGGGAGCGTTCTGCAGAGGCAGCTGCCCTTGCCACAGAATGCTCAGCTATTTAGGTCCTCCAACCTAGTAATTACCCCAGCTTTACATATAATGTGGTCAAAGTCATTTTAGTCCACCTGACCAACCCGCTTACAGGACAGCAGCGTTTTTATTCAGTTCCTCTCTATTTCTGACCTTTTGCTCTTTCATTTATTTACACAAACCAAGTTTCTCCCCTCTACTGAACTTTTCCACCTCTGCAGCACAATTGTATCCATTCATTTCAACAGATTATTGTCTGGTTCAGTTCTATTTTTGTAATAAAAAAAGTGGTGCCAGGTCTTCGGCATCAGGGACCAAACCTCATGAGGAGAGGTTCAGTATTCATAAACTCTCCTGCCGGGGTGACTTCATGTGGTGTGTGTGTGTGTAGAGGGTGGAGTCACAGTAAGGTTGGAGCAAATATAGAAGAACCACTTTCCACTGAATTAGAGCCTTCTCAGCCCCCCTCCTCACCCAGCAGTAAAATGAGGGCATTTAGGTAGCCACACCCTCCTGCTCTGTTATATGGTGCTTTGCCACATCAACTGTGAGGAAGAATGTTAAACAGCCTGAGCCGAGGATCCAAAAGCTGCAAAGATCTGTGATAAACAGGCACAAAATTGAGGTAATTCCAGTGTGTCTCGGAGATCCACATAAAACTCGTGCTGCTGTAAAAGATAATGATGGCTGAGAGGGAGACATAAATCTAAATACACAGCAAATGATCACATACTGAGGAAGGTAATTCATAAAGCTCAAGTTGTTGCATGAGATAATGGGAGACAATATGAGACACGAGAGCAGAACATCACACAGCTGAGATAAGAGGAGGAAGATTGGGCTGTTTTTTCTGCACTGTAAAACTGAAGCATTGATTTTTAACTCTCTGTGTTTATAGATGAGATCAATGTCGGCAATTTTCCAAGTTTTAAATGACGTGAATGACAGTAAGAAGCTGTTTTTGTGATGTTTTAAATGTGTAAAGTTGGTGTTGCATCAAATACAAACTTTCTTTTTACCCCTCATTCACAGATAACACGTTCAAACACAAACCTTCCTGCATCATTGCAGCATCTTCCAGAAGGAGGTTAGAATCATCCTGAGTTACTGAAGACTTGTGAAATGATTAAAAGTGTTGACATTGCTGTGTTGAAGTCTTTGACAGGAAGGTAATGGATGCTTTTCCTCTCCTTTTAGCGTTTAGATCCTGCAAAAGGTGCCAAAAGCAACTCCAGATGCAGGCAGAGGCTTGAGCTGCCGGACCATCACGGCTAAGAAAAATGACACAAAATAACAATTCTGACTGTGGTGGCATCAGAAATGCAGAAACATGTATTCTAATGTTCAAATATTTCAAGAGGTGCTGAACAAAAAAGTTATTTAAGAAAGACTGGAGTTAAAAGAGAATCTGATGAAAAAAATAAGAATCAAAGAGGAAACTCTGTTTGTTATGAATACTCTGCTGTTTGGGTGAAGCTTTATGAAAGAAGGAACCCTGGACCCTAAATATGTATAGTATGGGATTAAAAACTGGACCTTTGTTCTTCTGTTGTTCGTGCTTTCTCAGGTACACTATTACCAGAGCAGTAAAGGAAAAATAAGTTTTTTTTTATATAGTGGTTGTCAAGATAAAAATCAGGAGGTGCTTCACAAGAATAAAAAACTAAACTCTGTTATATTATATTAATGAAAAAGATCTTAACACAAAATAGAAGAAAAAACAAGATTAAAATGTGAGTAAAAATGAAACAGATGTGACCTCAGGATTCAGAGCTGTTCCACCAGATCTCAAAAGAAAACATAAAACTGTGCGGAGCTAAATATAGAAACTAATTCAACTTCAGCATTTTGTGGCTCTGACAAAATCATGTGTATATTTGTTTCAGTCACACTTTGTGTTCAATGACAAAAACTTGAGGATTAGTAAGCTGCTTGCTACTTCTTTGAACGCCATGAAGTAAAAAAAATAAATAAAAAAACATGAAACATTTTGTGTTTTACTAATTCTTTGCATTGCTTCTGGTTTCACTTTGAAACAGAGGCTGGAGCTTCACTTTCCAGCAGGACTACAGGCTTTACAAAAAAAAAGGGTAAAAAAAAAACAACCTAAACAAAACCCACTAGACCAAGAAAACTAACACTAAAATTAGACTTTTAACTTCAAATTTGAAAACATCCTCAATGCTCGGCCTTATCTGCATGTGGAAAACAACAAAGCTAAAATCAGACTGCTGTAGGTGCCACCATTTGCATTTGGAGCTAAAGTTTGTGAAAAGCTCCTTCCTGAGCTACAAAGCTCCAGTCTTTTATTACATCAATACCTCCTTTTGTGTCACAACCAAATGAGAGCTCTTAAAAAAATCTGAGCTACTGAATGGGTCTCTCCATTTGTCCCGTTTTGGCTTTGCTCCCAATCCGGAGTAAGAGCCTTTCTGTTGCCACCACTTGTCACAATAAAACAGGCATTACAGTTGTGTGCAGGAGTGTGTGTGTGTGGGGTGGGGGTGGGGTGGTGGTGGGGGGGGGCTTTAAAGGAGCAGGATAAGGAGTGGCTAATGAGAAACATTATGCATCGGCACAGAATCTCCTCATTTACCAGAAGATGTGGTGCTGATGCATTTACCAATTATAGATTAATCTGCAGCCTCACCGGCTTAATGACAGGCCTTTTCCTCTCTGACATGTGAACACCAACCATGTGATGGTGCTGCACGGCCCCACAGATGAGAAGATTCAATAAAGACCAAATAAAAACAGGTTAGACTGCTGGTGACTATACTGGGTGTCTCTTTTTACATGTATCAAAATAAATACCAAAATGTGGGTGTTAATTTCTGACTTTTTGTCAAGCTGCGTGGCTTTAGATCCAGTGGTGTGGATGACAGACTTGGAACTAGAACAGGAATCCAGATCTTTGGCGTGCGATGTGCAGGTTTTTACATTTATACCATGTTTCCAAAACTATAATGAATGAACTTACTTCATATTTATTTTCATTTAACTTTATAAACATATTTTTAACTTTTGTTCTTTTTGTCCATTCCTTTCCACCTGGGGTAGTTGCTTCAGCAGAGAGGCCCCTTTCCCCAGCAACCTCCACTAGCTCCATCAGCAGGATTCCCAGCTATTTCCTGGCCAACATGGAGAACTAAGTCCTCAAACATGTTCTGGGCTGACCTGGGGACCTCCTGACAGCTGGACCTGCCTGAAACACCTCCTCTCAAAGGCGACCAAGGGGCATTCTCATCAAAATTCCCAACACCTATACTCCTCCTTAACTCCCACCTTACCGTGGTCGAGGAGTTTAAGTGCCCCAATCATCCTATAGGGGCACCTTGCATTTCACTCCTTGGCAGGGTCTCCCATGGCAACTTGGTTTTTGATGAAGGACGAGACAAAATACCCTTCAAAAGATCCTTTATGAGTTTAAAAGCAGAGTACCAGCGCTCCCGGCTCAGGGTTACCTGGGTCCCACCTTGGAGGTAGGCCAGGGGTTGAGGCCAGACCAGATGTGGGCTCATCCACCTGCAGGAGGAACATGAAAAGTCTGGTGCATTGTGGATCAGGTGGTAGACCAAGGTAAAGGCCTCAATGGTCCAATCTCCAAAACCTACAGCATTCTTTTTCTGTTGATTCTCATTCTGTATCCAAGCTGCCATCTGACTGCCTGGAAGAAGAGACATATCTCAAATGCAACTGTAGCACATGACTCCTAACTGATGCAAATAAGGACCATGTGGTCATTTGTTACGCAAATCTTCCTCACAAAAATGCTGGACAGTGAAATGATGAGTTCTGTCATCGTCTCTAATGATAATGTAAAGAAATCAAGCTAAAACCGTCTTGGAATGCAGTCTGGGCATTTCCAAGACAAATCAAAAGCTATAAATATAGGCGTTCAAATAAAACTGTCACTGTGTTCCTCCCCGTTAGCTCTTTTGTTTTGTTCTATCTCAGTGCCCACTAAATATACCCTGCTGGACGTGAGAGAAGTCAGCACTGGGGGAAACAAGCCAGTCCCTTCTGCCGTGGGCACTCACACTGATCGCTGCAGCAGGAAGAGAGCTGTTTCATACCATGTCTTCTACACAAAGCTGCTCTTTTTACAGCACATGAGGCTGTGGCTTTAAATAGCCAGTAGGTGCAGATAAAGAGCAGGTTAAATTCCACACTGGGAGAAAAATAAATCATCAGTGCATCAAGTCAGCCAACATTCACCTTCTTTTATTACCAGATTCTTATCAAAGTTGTTTAGGTTCACCCAGGAAACCAGGACGTGTTCCCACATTGTTGGTATCTTTTGAACCGTTTCTGTGTTTACCTGCTGTGACTCAAGCTGGCTGGAGTTGCTGGAAAAGTTTCATTGTTTCAGCTTTACTGTGGGTCTTTGTTTCATTTAAAAAGCTGCTGAAATGCATACTAAATGATGCAATGAAGTCAAATTGGGATCTTTTATACACAAAAAATACAAGTGAAAATAAATGAAACCATAAATCACCTGAAAAAAAAACTGTTTCCTAAAAATAACTGATAAATAAAATGGTTTTGTTTTCTAATGAAAATAGATACTTTAGACAATTTTTGTGTCTTTCAATCTTCATTGTATTCTAACAAGTAACACATGATGAAACAGCTCTCATCAAGATCACTAACCACTTACTCATTGCTGCTGATTCTGGTTTAATCTCTATTCTCATTCTCCTCGATCTGAGTGCGGCCTTTGACACCATTTCTCATCCCATCCTCCTCAA